CTTTCTTTTTTTTGCTTGCTAGACTTTGTTGTCACTGCTAAGATGAAATACTCAAATGGAGCAAAGACTTATCAAACCCACTAAAAAACTCAGCTTCACACACACCACAGCTGGGGAAAGCAAAGAGGCTGGTAACAACTGGATACTTGCTTAGAAGACTGCTAAAATGTAACTTTTTTTTAAAACTAATTAAACATTGAAGGACTCAAAAGCATGAAAAAAAAAAAACAAACCAGGAATGCTGAAACCACCTGTGAAGTATGTAGATGTTTAAACTATATAACCTGAAGAACCAAAACCAAGAACAAAATGATAAAAAGCGTTCTGTTTATCACTAGAAAAAGTAAAAAGTGTTTTTCAGTGAAATATGTTATGTTTGATTTTTACCTGCAAAGAAATGCCCATGGTCTATTCCAAGCTATGCTTTCCCTAGCCTCTTTTCCCTTACCTCCTTTGTCAGTATGTTTAAACAAGATGCTGCCACTGATTCCCTCCCTGGAACAGTTTTGCAAAAGCCCAGAAGTACCCTAACATCAACTCCTGCTGACTTTTTGCTGTTATGAGCTCAAATGGTAGCAACATATTTACAACATTAAGCAACAGTTGTCCCCAGAGGATGAGTCTGGTTAGCACAGTGCTCAGAAATCACTTGGAACACTTAGGAGTGCCATGACTAAGCCGTATAGCAACATCATGATTAGTTACATAAAATTTGGAGAGGAACAGAACTGTCAAGTGCAGTTGGAAAACAGTCAGAGTAATATCACTTTAGACATTTAGGAAAACTATCACTGAGGAGAAAATTGCTAATGTTTGCAGGCCTGCACATTTAGAGAAAGGAGGAGCAGACTGTTGTACTACAATAGGTTTGGACCCCAGCAGACTGCTGAAGCTCCAGACTGCCAATCCTTCAGCAGTCAGTCACAACTTGCTTCTAAGTGACTGTCAAGTTCCAGGGCTCTTTTTGACTGAATACTACAATTTCCTGTCTTTTAGGACACTGCTGATTTCATAAAACACAGTCTCTGGCAAAGCACTCAGAAATTCTCCCCATAAAATAAAAATAAAAAATAAAAATCCCAAACTCCCTAAACAAACCCCCTTCTACTGGCCCATGACAGGATTTTTTTTTTTAAAGTGTATTATTATTATTAACGATGTATTACTTTCAACACACACGTATACACTCAAATGTACACGCAGCGCAACATGAGAACACTGGGCAACTGAGATGAAAAGGATGGGAATTTGGCATCTGATTTTTTTTTTAATAAGAAGTAGTTATCTCAGCTACTGTTACATAACTCATTGCACAACATGCTTATGCAGCATGCTCTTTTTCCCTTAAGAATGGGTACATCTATTTCCACGAAGTGGCTATACTGTCTCCATTTGCCTCGGCTTCCCTCCCTTCCCCTACTGTAGGGCATGTGGGTGCATGTAAAAAGGCACTAGTGCGGCTTTTGTGGTTTGACTCTAGCCATTTCAGGCGGAGTAAGCCCCTGACCCTTAGAGCTGGGAGACAGAAGTTGGCCATCCCAACACCGAACTCTGAAGTTCAAGACTGTAAGCCCTGACAGAGAGCAGCAATAGGGTAAACAGAAGAGTTTAACAGATACTTCCCTCATACAAAATAAAACAGAAAGATTGGGAGGTGGGGTGGATGAAGAAAAGCAAGCAGCAAATCTCCAAGTGGGGAATAAACTGACCAAATAGCTGAAAACAGGAAAAATTATTTCTAACGTACATTTTCCTGGAGTTTTTCCATATTCTCTCCTTTTTCTGTACTGAAAAAGGCAGGAAAATAAAACTGCTTCATTATTGGGTATTCTGTCAGCACTGGTTTTCTTTAGCACTAAAAGTGGTTTAAAGAAGCATCATCATGAATTTCCTGCTAGTCCTCCTAACTGAGGACTCTTTCAGTTAAACTATACTGCATTTTAATTAGGTTTATAGTTTCACTTTGCTTTTAAAAAGGTGCTTGGAAGAGTATTTTTGTTTCGTTTTAATCCAGAGGGAACAAAGTGATAGATTTCCATTCACACACTTCTCCATGCAACTGCACACATGTCTGCATGAGTAACGAAGCACTATAAACAATAACCCTTCTTCTCCCACAACTTGTTTAAGATTACAATGAATTTCTGTTGCTGATATTGAGAAGCTTTCTTAATGTATTTTAATTTATACAGTCTTTAAAATTCTTGACCCCCCCACTTAACAGTAACATTTGGAGATTTTTTCTTTTTTTCTTTTTCTTTTTATTTATTTTTTTTAGCATTTTTATTTTAAAGTAAAAACTTTAAAACATTTTGAAGATTCAGGAACTTGTAAAAGTTTATCAACAAGAAACAGCCATCTATCTAGGATAAGGTTAAATAAACCATCTTCAAAAAACTGGCTTCCTACCCTAGAATTCCTGAGAATGCTTGCAAATTTAAAGCAGGAAAATAAAATGTTAAAATAAAAACAAAAACACTGTTAAATGCTCCCAGAGTTAGTCTTCATCTAAAATACATATATGCACTTTTTGGTCTTTTTTTTTGTACGTTTTAATTTTTTTCCCTTTAAGCTTACAATGGAAGAACAATTTAGCTTTTCTTTTTAAATATTTCAAATCCCTCATTATGTCTTGTAAACAAGAGGGGCTCTAGCACCCGGCTTTCACCGTAGTATCGCAATGAACTCAACTAGCCCAAAGTGCAGGAAAAGGGACCTCAGGGCAGGTTGGGAGAGAGAAGTGAGGGTGGAACACAGCAACGAACCAGCATGTATAGCAAAATCATGTGACAGAATGGATACTGGCTTACTCAGGCCAAAGGTGCTTCACTAGGAAGTACTGCTGGCACAGGACTTCTAAGAACCTGCTCTGCCTGTCTGAGAGCGGCTGGTCTTCCAGCAGAGACTAGCAGAAACAAAGCTTTATGGACGTGTGCACGCAAGGGGCACTAGCTAGCAAGAGCTGGAAGAGAGCATTTTGCTTCTTTGTGCATTGTGGGATGGACGAAGGAGGAGACGTGATAGAAAAGTATATTCAGAAGGGGCCAGAGTATGCTGCATGCTCCAGTTTACTAAACAAATACAAACCTACTCATACTTTTTGTCATATAACACTCTGCATACAAATCTACAGGCATGTGTATATGCAGCATTTCCCTCAGTCAGTCTTCCTTTGTGACATTGGGTTTACATACAAAGGGCAAATTCAAAAAAGCCACGTTAACTTCCTAGCCCTTCCCTCCCACCCCCAGCACACAGGCATACACACACACACACACCACTCCCCCCTCCCCCCCAATTACTTGAATCTGCTTTTGCTTCTCCCCACCCAACCCACGCGTGAGAGTTAAATGTATTAGACATTGTCATATCCTTCAATGAAAACGCTGAAGAAAGAGACTCCCCTATCCTCCCCCCAGGTAATAAAGCCCAAGCACTGCTCCTGCTGAGGACTGGAATGGACAGGTATGTGCTGGTACAGAATGTCGGCACTTCGTTGGACAGTATAATGGCTAGACACCACCACATGGAAGTCCTAGCACTTACAGAAGAAGTACCGGCATCTCTCTTCCCTCTTCTCCTGGCCCCATCCCCCCTCTCGAAAGACTTCCCGCTTTGTGTCAAGGGATGTTCCTTCAAGCCTGCTACAACTCTTTTCACAACAACAGGTCTTAAAAGTTTTGTTCCCAGCGCACACATGCACGCACACACTGGCTATCACTGTGGATTATAGGTCACCCCTATCCTGCCCAGAGTATTACTACACTGATGCTAAAAAAACCCCCAAACCTTTCCTTAAATACAGAAATTAAAAAGCAACGGTACAGAAAAAGTAAAAACAAAAAACAAAAAGGTGCAATACTTCTTAAAAAAAAAGTCTTTGCTAGTTATATACCTCCCTAAGCAAAATCACGTACACAGGAAAAAACACAACACAGAGAAACAAAAGGAAACGTTTGAAGTACACACTGGTTTAAGAACATTCGTAAGTAAACGTTTCTGTCAGTGATGGTCTGGCACTGTAATACACCAAGGCCTGGCACAGGTAACGCTCACCATGAAGGACGCAGAAAGGAGTTAGCTGCATGTGCTTTCAGGAGATGAGGCAGGCCGGCCAGCAATTTATTGACACGATCTAGTTTTTGTCAGTTTTAATACAAGCAGTAAATCAGTTAAAAGGTTAATTTGGTTGGGCTGGACTTTCAAGCTTTTGATGCTTTCTTCAAGAATGTGTATGGGTGCCTATTTAGTTTTGGGGGAGAAAAGAAACACTTTTTTTTTTTTTGAAGGTACTGAAGCTTGCAAGAGACTGAGTAAGAACATTTGTCTTAGCTGCACAAAAAATGGCAATGTCTTCTTTCCTCCTCTTTCCCCCCATGTGGAAGAAAAAAAAATGGCTTGCATTATATAACAAACATTCTAGGGTTCACTCAGTACAAAAACCCCACATGCAGACATAAATAAATAAATACACTGCTACGCAAAAGACAACATTGGCTCCCCTCTCACCAAATCCTTTGGATATGGCAGTGTTCCGCTCTACCACAGGGTTAGAACAAAGGCTAGGAAGCAACTACCCACTCAATATGATCTGCAGACTTGAGATAGCACCCTGCTAAATTGAATTAAAAAAAAACCCAAACAAAACCCAAAAAACTACTGACAAATTTTAATCCAGCCCAAGTGGATTATGCTTCAGCCACAGGGACTCCACCATGCCTGTCTTGTTTTCAGAATCAAGACATGCAGATGGCCAGCCAGCCCGTAGACCATCAGCAATGCAGCGTTTCAAGATTATATATAGAGAGAAAAAATGCACACACACGAACATGTGCACACGCACTCACACAGAAACAAGCACACATGGGCAGTTACATGTGCCAGAACACACTGGTACTTATCAACCAGCCAATCACAAAGTGTTGGTTTTTTTGTTTTGTTTTGTGTTTTTTTTCTTCTTTTTTTGTTTTGTTTTTTTTTAATGGATTTTTTAATTTTTAAATTTTTTTTTTAATTTTTTTTGTTTTTAAAGTGAGGCTCCGTCAAGTCTTCCCCTCCCACCCCCCTTTTTTCTTTTGAACCCCTCCCCTACCCCAGCCCAACATGGTAGACCTAAGGACGGAAACACACCCAGTGCAAACAAAGTTAAAAAGCTATTTTTTCAGTATATATGTTTCTTAGCAACAACTTCCGTATAACATGAAAAAGTGAAAAACTAGAAACTAATTTTTTTAATTTTTTGTGTTTAAATTTAAATGGTATGTGTACTTGCTTCACATTGTCTTTCTACGTTGGCGTTCATGATTCAAGTATTTCAAGAGTGATATGTTCTCTTTTTGGATTCATATTCCAAACGAAAAAACTGAAGTTATAGAAGGGAGGCAACTATGTGCTCAGACAGTCTGTCAATGACCCACCTTTTTTTTTTCTCTCTCTCCGTTTTCTTTTTTCCTTTTATAAATGTATTTATTGCAAGTTGAAAAAAACGAAAAGGTCAAGTTAGTGCTGCTGCTGTTCCAAAAAAGGTCACGAGGTCAGAGTTGAAAGTTCTAAGTTCAGATTGAATCCGACCCTCCTCCCAGAAGGTCTCCAGGTAGTAAGGGAGCAGGGCTACCCATTCTGTGTGGATCCTCTACACTTGGGACCCCCCACAAGCTTGAAGAATAGTTTGGGGGCCCCCACAACGAAGCGCCAGTGAGATCACCCCCACTGCTGCCGCCGCCGCCACCACTGCTCCACTGCCCAAGCCCTGTTGACCCACCAAAGAGATTCAAAGCAGGTCCAACTGGATCTGTCTGGTTCTGTCCCGTCTCCAGGGATTGCCAGCCTGCTGTGGGTGCACTTGGGGTTGCTGCAGGTGTAGGGGGCTGAGCTTGTGCCAGAAAGCGACTAACCTCTTCATCTGTGGCAAACTCAGCCAGGATGGTAGTGTTTCCCAACACACACCTAGAAGACAAGATACATGGCAAAACAAATAGCAATAATTAGAGCTGGAAGGAAAAGGCAAGGGATTCAGAAGGCATGGAAACAACACTATTAGGTGCCCAAACCAAAGGAGATATCGGCTTGCCACAAAGGAGAAAGCACATGAAGAATCACCTGTTCTCAACAGCGAAACTGACTCAAATCACAAGAAATTCCATTTTATAAGGAGACCCCTTTCCCCCCAGATAAACCAACCAATCCAGCCCCCCCCCTCAGTTGTTCTGCCTGAAACAAAACCTTTCCGAATTTAAACTAAGGTCCTGAACGTTAACACCAAGAGCAATAGGAGTGCCTATACAGTGTAGCTAAAATGGTAAATGCATGTGTCACCTTTCAAACAGAACAGAGGAAGAATGGGTTAAAAGCCTGTGAAAGTCAGGGTAAGACTAGTATAGTTCAAGTTCTCACTGAGTTTAAGCGCTTACACTACACCCCCACACACCTCCCCCAAAAGTTTTTGTTTAAAAACCTCTCACATTTCTGAAACATACCAGAGCCATAGTCAGTTCCCAAAAAGCTTGAGAACAGGAAACCTAAGATCTGCAGCTTTTTGAGTAAGCTATTTCAGATGTATCTCAGAACTACAGCAGATTGCCACACATTTGGGTTATGCATATAAGAATGATTTTCATCTGAAACAATTCACAAGCTTTTATAAAATGGCCCCAACTGTACAGTTAGGTGCATACTGGTCACAATTCCATCCTACTTGCACCTTCTTAGTTCTGTATGTGCCAGTTTGTGCCAGCAATTAAGTAACACAAACAGAAGGCATCTTTGTTTCTCTTCTTCCTCTGCCAATGAATGAGATTCCCTTCCAACCATGATACTTGAGTTTCCAAAGCACAGCACTGGACAGATGTCTTGTGCTCATGACTAATGTAGTAACAAAGAACGGACATGGGGACTGCTTACATGTGCAGTGCAGTCTGGGCCTTGGCCGCCTCCTGTTTGGTGTTGTATCGGATAAGGGCGGTGCCCTGGGTCAGGTTCAGATGGAATGTCAGCAGTGGGCCATGCTGCATGCAGATCGTCCTCAAGGTTGACCCGTCGATCTGAGGAAGAACAGCCAGGATAAAACAGATGTTTGTAACTAGTTCTCCAAGCATACTTCAATCCTAACTCCGCCTCAGTAATTAAAAAATAATCTGCTCAACAAAGGAAAGCAGGTAAAAGCAGTGGGAAGTAAGCAAAGACAACAGAATTGAATTTTCAAACAGAATCAGTATGCCTTGACCTCTGACATTTACAATGGCTTTGCTTTATAGAAAAATCTGAATTATCTTTCCTGCTCACTTGTTGCTTGAGTCCAATTGTCCTCATCTCACTGAGATTCTTACACAGTCACTATCTTATGTTGGCAGGTTTTCCAGCAATTATACACAGCTTGTACTTCTCACCATCTTAAGCCACCAGGGTCTGACCAAAGGAACCAGAAAGTCTTAGTCTTCAGCATTCTGATTTCAGCAGAATTTAGATGAACCAGCATTTAAAAGTTCTTCGCAAAATGGGAAATATCACCTCTACAATGAGGGTTTTTTTTTTAAAACTTATTTTGGTGTTTTTTTGCCTTTGTCATTTCTGAAACAGCAAGTCACAGAAACAGTCAGTGACTTTTCTGACAAACCCAGCAATGTTCATTCCTCCTGAACTAACGTCTTCACAGCAGTTGTTGCCTACATTCTTTCTGCAGCAGTAACAGCTTGTTACTTACCTCTAGCAACCGCTGTTCTCCAAGGTGTTCTGAACAAACAGATTCCATTCCTGGTATGCCACAGGAACACGCACACACGAATGGGATCCATATGTGCAGATACTTCAGCAAGCACTACTTTCTTTCTTCTACCTTCCCCCTCTCTATTATATAATACAACCTCAAATGAGGGGAAAAGGAAGTTGTGTGCAGGTACAAATACGGACAAAGTTAAAAAAAGAGAAACTTGAAATGAAGATACCGTCCCTGAATCCACCCTAATCTTTACGCTTCCTTCTCTCTAGTGTACTGACCCACAACAGAGGATTTGTTATGGAAGAGACAACTATAATCTGATTCTTTCTCTTTTCCATTAAAACAATAGCCTCCAAAATATATTCTTCTTCCATTCAATGATTCTTAAAGCAGTATTAAACTACCTTGCACAAGGGAGACTTAGAACTGTGCCTCTTCATCACACCACTGCTGTTTCCTTCACTTCAAGGAAAACAGTCTTTTCTATGAAACGAGCACAGTTTGCCATTTTGGGTGATCTGAAGGAGACCTTAGTTTTTTCTTTCACATTGATGTTTTCTTAGACTCCAGTAGAAGCATGGTAAAATCTCCTGCTGCACAGGGGACTCACTGTCTAGACCTCAGGGAGCTGCTGATAATCATACAGACTTTTCCAAAGCCTTAAATACAGACTAATTGGGATTGCTGAAATTAGGATCTCCACAGACTCATTCTGAATGGAAGCAAGCTATGAGAATACTTGCAGGAATAACCTAACTAGACTGGTTTTGGCAGGAGTGCTGGAAACATTCTGTGGTTTCACTATGGAAACACCAAAGTGAAAACTGGCATTTACACCAGCTTTCTTACTGACAACGTCCCAAAGAGCAGTCTCCTTAACAGCTATAAAGCATTCTACACTATGGTCATGTAACTTCTCCTCACTTCTAAGAAAAATCTTTGTTCCATTAATTTTCTTGAAACTCCAGGTAATGAACGGTTATGAGAGTCATGTAGCAAAACCTTAATGTCTGAAAAGTTAGCCGAAGAGATTACAACAGAAAAATGACTGCAGCCCGGTTTAGTAGAAACACATCTTGCATATACTGACAAATCTGATGTTGTTAAGATTTTATTCAAAGAGAAGCAACTGAAGAATCCACAAATATGTATCTCAGTAAAGCAAACAAGTTCCCAGAGACAACAACAGAAAATACCTGTGGAGTGAGATTGTGAAGAACCAGCCAGTAGCTAGGACGAACTGAGCCACCGTCACTCCAAGTAGATGCTGCAAATTAGGAGAGACAGCAATCAAGACAGATTTGATACAAAGAAAACAATTTTTCTTTACATTCAGGTCTTTCAGTCTCAGACAATTCAGCATTATCAGCACTGCTAACACATAAAAGCCTGACCTTCAGTCCCGAAAACAAAACCATATCTTTCCTCACATTTCACATCAAGGTCCACTTTTCACTAGAGTTTATCTTTGAGGAATTTCCCACCCACAGAAAGCATTTAGTTGTGAAAGGCCCCATGCAATAGGTTTTCCCTCCTGGCAGCTCTCAGTGCTCTTCACTCATTCCCTGCAGAAGGACTCAGGATTCCACACACCACCCCCACCCATCCCCAATCCCAATTACTGACAGCAAATTTCTATTGCAAGTAGTAACTTTTTTTTTTTTTCCTTTTACCAGACAACTGCAACTTTCTTTCCTCCAAACCATTAGTGCCGTAAAACGTACACTCCTCAGGTCTGATCAATGGTGCTATCAGTTGATTCTTCTCACCAGAGGCAAGCCTTGAGTCCTGTGCCCCCCAGCCCCTGACCGATCGGGGTGCTGTGCTGTTCCATGGAGATGATGGTTTGGGGTTGGTCAGGCCAGGAGGCGGGCGGGGCAGCCCTGTAGTGTTCCTTGAGGAAATATGGTTTTTCCACATCTTGTTGGAGAGATGAGTGGGATTGTGTCCTATGGGATCTGGGGACCATGTTGATTTGTAATCACTGAATTTTGCTAAAAGATTAAATAAATTGTACGTATTAGAGAAACTTACGAGAGTCAAGTAGCTTTTAACTGTACTATCACTGTAAATCCTTTGACCACATTTATATCCGAGACAAGCACAAAGCACAGAACCACATAATAGTTAATTCACCACAGCAAAACAAGCCATGCTACATTGTAAGTTAATCTTTCCTTATTTTACATATGCTCACAAAAAATATCCCTAGATCATTTATGATAATGTAACCAGTCGCAGTATGTTCAGTCATTAATAAGATGAACAGCAACTTCTTTGTCCACACTACATTTGAGAACCTAAGAATTTCTTACAAGTTTTGGCACTACTGACCTTTAATGAAACTGAACCTTCTTCAGCACAAAAACTTGCAGAGAACTGAAATGAATATTTACCACTCAGTCTACAAAGCTAATGCTACCTCCTAAAGATGTCCTCCCATAATATTAAACTCTCTCATGAATCACAGATTTCCTACAGAGCTGACACAACAGTAACATGTAAAGAAGGCCATTTAGCTGTGTAGCAGCTGGACTTCTGAATAATCTTGATAGTGCATATTCATTTTTTTTACTAGGAAGCATTGCCAAATGCCTGTAAGAAGTTAAGACCAATAGTGGATACCACTAACACATTTCAACAACCCTTTATAGAAGAGTCCACTGAAAGAGGAAAATTAACACACTCCCCAGAACACCACTATAGGTCATAAATATTTGGGAGCTCTTCCTAAATAATTTTTCGCTAAGAACGTAGACTGCTAATTCTCCCACACCTGACAACAAGGGACATGGATCACCCAGTAGACCGAACCAAAAGTCAAAATTGCTTGAATAATTCCTTTTCCCCTTGTTCTGCAATAAGAACCAGCAAACAGACAAAGCAATCTGGCCGAAAAGGCACTTGTGTCATGAATTATCTTAACTGGAACTCATATGTGCGTGTGTGCAAACATATGTATTAAGCTCTATTAACTAACAAAAGGTAGTAAATTGCTTATTTGAAACAAAGGGTAAAAATCCAGGTTTATAATAAGGCAGGGTGTCACAAAAGAATACATTTAGAACTGAAGACCATAAAGCTTTCAGCAAGTAAAAGCATGCTTCATTTAACAGCTGGATCACTATATTTCCACGACAGTAACTGCAAATAGCAAGCGGGTTTCAAGCACTAACCTATGAAAGTATATGGAAGTGCTTAAAAACCTGATTTCACTAGACTCAGTTTGTTTTACAGATATGTGAATTCTAAGTCCCTAATTCCGATGACCCGCTTTCTGGCTGTAAAATGCTGGTGTGTAGTTTAACAAGATGAGCAGAAGATGGTATATAAGCCAGGCAGTGGTCTGCTTTCCTCAATTCAACTATCACTTCAATAATTTTTTATCTTTTGCATCTTTAAGTGCTAGACAAAAATTAGGCAGAGTTAAGAAGCTGTAAACATGCCACTCCTTTCCCCAGGCTATGAAAGAGAAATCTTTTCTGTCACTGGAATGCTGCATACACAGATATTGCTTCAAACCAAAGTCACCCCACAAACTGGCAGCAGGGACACTGTTTTTCTCAAGGGCTAAATAGGATTTCACACACATTTTGTGAAAATGCTGAGATAACATACGAACGCAGCTTTTATTCACCAAGGTGGAAAAAAAAAAAAGCTTGGGCCAGATGCAGCTCTCAGCTATGTTTGTCACTTCTGCTATTTACACACAATTCTTCAGTTTTAAGTAGTTGTCAAGACCATGACATCTCAAGAGAAAACTCTGGCATTTGTGAGAAGTTCAGAAGACAAATGTTTTGTCTGGAGCAAGTATTTCCAGCATCCCACTCAGAAGTGTGTGCAGAAACCCTTTTTCACAGGAAAGCTTTGGAGACCTTCTTACCAAGGATCTGAGGCAGATATCTAAATTACTCTTTACAGGCCAATCACCACTAAAAGCCCGAGGACTAAAAGCCCTCTGTCTCTCTCCAGGTTTCAGCGAATGAGTGCTATAAAAGGTGAAGCAAAACTGTTCCCTTCACAGCACTCCAACATTCTGACGTTAAAATGAATCAAATCACCCACCTCGTTACTCTAATTCCTTAACTCATACATACAGGATCAGCTATGTTTAAAAAATTATGGCAGTCCCCCAACCCCTTACACATGTCAAGACACTGTGCATGTGCAGTTTTTTGTTTTGTTTGGTTTTTTTTTTTTTCTCCTTTTGCATCTGCTGCTCACTGCTACCCTATTTTTTAACTTGCACAACTAAGAATTTTGTATGGGGGTGGGAAGCATGGCAGTGGATCTTAGCCTAGTTTTTAAAGCAACTACAACAGAGTATTTTATCATCAGGAGGAAAACAATCTCACCAGTCACTCAAAATTTGAGTTCCTCAGAAATTACTGAAAGACTAAATATTCAACGCGGAACAAGAATGAGAAACTACTGAATAAGTGGAAAATGCATTGTCCAGGTTAAGTTTTGGAGCCCGCATACCTGAAGTGCTATGAACGTTGGTGAAGGAATTGTCAGAGGCACTGTAGGGCCAGGCACCAGGTGAAGGCAGCGAGGTGTTGAGGGAAGAATTAGACCCTATCAAAGAGAAAAGGAAAGAGAAAGAGTAGGCCAACTTCACAGAGTTTGTGTAATACTGTTAAACCTCAAGAAACCAACAATTTGTAACAATGCCACGCTTTCGCGTGATACACAGCTACAGTGCAAAGGCACACTGGCTTCCTTCTCAGTCAAATCCAATAGACATTATTCTATCTATTATATAATTCAATAGACATTTATTCCTGTTATGACAGGAACATCAGAACCACTTAAATAATCACGTACCAGTTGTTCACTGTTTTACCTGTGGTGTTGTCCCGCAGAAGTTGGTGGTCAGTATCTACAATGGGAGATGTGGCTGTCCCCCCCAGCACACTTCCAGGGGTCACATAGGGGTCAGATTCAGGGTCAATGTTTTGTATACCTTTCCATGGCACTCCTGGTTGGAACTCTGGGTCAGGAGGGAAAAAGGAATTAGATCCAAACAGGGAAATGTCATTTACTGGAAGTAATTGTTGAAGATATTTTAGGATGGTAAATATTTGTCTTCTACACTGCTCCTCAGAAAAATCCCAGACTTTTTTAATGAAAAGCTGTTTCACATTTCCTCCCACAGCACTATCTCTAGTGTCTGAATACAAATCTACACTATGAAAAGTGCTGCAAGTGCATACAGCATTCCTTACACTATTCCTGTTTTACTACATTCAGATTAGGCTTCAACAGTTTTACCCTTCCTTAATAAATTATATATTTTTTAAGATATGTAAGATTAGATTATATATTATAACATTAGATTCTGCATAAATACTTCATGTGTCTGCAGAAGCCTTTCTCAAGGAAAGGCTACCTACCTGAAGAGTTTGTAAACAGAACATCTGATACTTCACATTAAGTACACACATACTTTCTACATTACTTATCAATACTGAAGTAACACTAAGGTGAGATGCCTTGTGGTAAAAGCAATATATATGCTCATTAACATTCTTCATGCTTCACAATGAGATGGTATAGCTCCAGGCATGCCAGATTTTTAAGACAAGAAGATGAGTTTCGGAAAGTATGAACATAGAAAAACTCCAGTTACCAGTGCTGTGGTCAATTTGGGAAGCAGTTGTAAGAAAACAGAACTGCCAAACACAGAAACAAATAAAAGCGTGAAGAGTGCCAAGGTGGGAGATTCATTCCTTGTAAATACAAGTCCAGGAAATGGAATGATATCTTTACTCCCAACCTGAAGTTTTGAAATAATTAATGACAGAATATTTTTGTGTAATTAAAAATCCATGGTTAAAAGTGGGATCCAGGATGTGCTCTCTGGAACGAAACCATGTAGGGTGAGCCTGGCATGGAAGGGTTCATTTCAGTCACCTTTGTAACGAAGCACAGTCAAGACTATGACTTTCACAGACAAATACAGCAGAAAATGGGATACTATTGGTTCAAACAATTGGCACAGCAAGGGCAGTATTAGATTGTGGTAATGCGCTGGCAGGAGAATCTCAGAGAAGACAGATGAACTGCCACACTGGGTCAGAACTGTGGTCCATCCAGCCCAGCATTCTGCTAACAGTGGTATGAGAGATACCATTTAGGGCCAGAACACAAACCTGGGCACTACCTGCAGGCTGCTGCCCTCATACTCTCCCAGCATTCATAGCCCTTCTACCTAGGATGCCAGAAAAACCCTCTATCTGCTAGTATCTGCTTGTGAAATTGTTTTTTTCCATCAGTTTATCCAATCAGTTTCAACTGGCTAGTATGACCTGTCTTCAGAAGCTCCAAAAGCAACACATTCCAGAAGTTAACCACTCCCGAAATGGAAAAAAAAAAAGCTCTCATCTACTTAAAATTTATATCCTCTTAAGTTCAGCATTTGCACCATGGTTCTAGTGTTTCAAGACTCACAGAATTACAATTTTGTGTTTATCCTGTTCACTGCCTTCATGATTTTGTAAACCTCAGTCACATCTCCTGATCTTTAGTAACTCAACAAAATGACCTAGGATATCCAGGTATCAATGTTTCTAACAGTATCAGAAATCAGCATTGCATCAAGGAAGGAATCTGCTCAGCTACGGCCAAAATATTGCAGTCCTCTGACAAACAGGATCATCTTATGCTTAAGGAACAAGCTACGCAGCTCTTGGGTCTAGTCAAAAGATCTTCTCTGTTCTGAGATAAAGAATCCACGAACACCTGTTAGGATCTGGAAATTAGAACTCGTTTGCCAAAAAAAAAAAACTAAGTCGCCTTTGTAAAAATTTCTGAGAATAGGTGAGACTGAAAATTAAGTGCATAGCAAGCTTTCATCTTAAAGTTAAGAATATTCAAACAAGGCTCCAAAGATCAGGCGCACTGTATATAAACACATTCACTCATCGATGTAATCCTGGTCTGGAGAAGAGTTTTCCCTGAATTTCAGCATACTGACAGATTTCCAAACCTTTCTCTGGGACTGACAGTTATTCTCATGCACATTCACCAACTCTTACTACAGAAATGCTCTTTTATCTCTAGATAGTAAAGAAAACATGAAGTGCATTTCTTCACTGATATTTGCAAGGTCCTCTCAAAAGTTCAAAAGTAAGATTCACAGGAAAACCATGACAGACACATCCAGGCCTGGAGTTTATGACTGAACTGCTCTTGAATGGGAAAGTTACAGTCTAGTAGTACCTAGATATGCAAGTCTGTGTGACATAACCAAGAGACATAGATCTCACCAATGCAGCAAAACTTGCTCTCACCTCCAACTGTGATATCAGTTTGATTGGGCATCACTTCATTTTTCTTTGTGCTGAACAACACTGCTCTCTTGAACAGCAGAATTTGTGCAGCAGATGGCATTTAGGACGAAAATGTGAAAGGTGTAGTCAGGGTGAATGCTGAGTGACCACTGTATTCATTCAAAGGAAAAATGCACCTATTTCGGGAGGTCTTCTCTTGTAAACTCACTTCCATTAACAACTTATTTTCCAACATTAGGAAGAAAAATTGTATCTCCATGTCAAGAACTGACAGTGGGCCTCATCTACAAGCTTGCAGAGAAAAAGGACGTACAGTGTAAAATCATTTTGGGTCTTTACTCGGTGGTGTTGATTGGGTAGATCATGATTTCAGCTAAGTTTTCCTTCTCAAGCCAATAAGCTAAAGCGGCTATGAGACCGCTTAAGTGGCTGATGGTTATGGGATGGTAATACTTGTCCCAGTTGTCTATGGACCTCATAAGAGGTGATACAGCAATAATTGCATAACAGCTACATGCCAAAACCCATGATCTGTTACGTGACATCTGCAATCACAGTCACAGGCTATTCACTCACACAAGAAATTAGGGATGGCACGACCCCATTGAGAGTTTATGTTCAGAATTTGTGAATCCCAGCTATCCTCTCACAGTGGTGAGGCACTCAGCAACAGCAAACATTTTACTTAATGACAGTGGGACTGCAGGTATCACTAAGGAAGCTCTACGATACCAGTGAAAGGCAAAGAGCAGCTATTCAGGTTCTCGCTTCTGTAACAGCCTTCTGGTACCAAGAATCTTTCCAAAGCCAGTGGCTGCTCTAAAACCTGGAAACACAGCAGAGCTGATCCTCACATCCCTCTCCTAACATTCCAAGCAGTACTGTGTTTCTCAGTATTACGCAGGGTAATGGTGCCTAAAGAAACAAGTTCAGCAACAATCAGTCTATGAGAGGTCATGGAAAAAACTAAACTTCAGAGGTTTCTGGCATTATGAACAGTAACTCCAAGTCAAGAAGCTCAGTACTTAAAAATCAGCCTGACAGAAACATAATGCAAATACACCTCTACAGAGAGCAGTCAGTGGTAGGAAATGTTGTGGGTTTGCAGATGTTCTTGAGATAACTAATTCTTTAACTCTGTTAGCTCATCAGAAAACATCTTCTTGCCAGAGTTAGACACTGAGGGGTTCCCACATAAAAAGCTTTAACTCCTTTTGGTAGGTTTCCTGCAGTTGTATCTGTCAGACAGAGTCCTAGACTTTCTCACACAAGGTCTGTGCTACTGGTTTACCCAAGAGATGCAGCTGCACCTTTACTTTTTTGTGCTTGAGGGGATACATAGCAGAGGATTTGCAGTTAGGAATGTTTTCCTGGAATGTAAGAGTCTTCTAGGCAGAGAAAAACATCACAGCATCCACTATTTGCTGAACAGCACTGGTGATTAATCCGCGCAACTTCAAGGACATCACTCTGTGTTTAGTGAATGTTTCATATAGAAAATTATGTGTGTGTTCAAATACATATGTATTTTTCCTAGGTAGTTGAGTTTTCTATCGGAAAGATAAAATTCTGCCAGTGAAATTCTAGACAACTTAAAGAATGTGCTACTTGCTGTAAGCCAAAAATCAAGAAATTTCTATTCAAGCCACAAGACTGCTGAACAGTACTGAAACATGGCAACACTCTTCTGTCCTTTATGTGACACTAGCAAAGGTGAACCACAACAGTGCAGCACACACATTGTACCAATACTGCTGTCAAAAGAGACCTTGTTTACAAGTATGATCCATTGCAGACCACAACTGCTAGAAGTAGTTCATGCTATATAAAAATACAGAAGGTCAAGACAAGAAAATCCTGTTCCCACCACCACAAAAAACAAGCTTTCACATCTTTTACTTTCTGATTCCATGCTATCCATTAGAATTTTTACATCCCTTGTCGGCCAAACACAATGCAAATAAGGAATCCACACAAGAGGAGGGAGCTGGTATTGTGTATTCTATGAATAAGTGTTCTCACGAAAATTTCTGTAAGTGTAAATTCACCAGAATACAGAAGATAAGCGTTCACCTAACAAAACACAAATACTACTTGGGCGATTTAGCAGTTAGTTCATATTTAGCCCAGCAATTTTTTACTGGAAATTCAACATTTATGTTCTAATGTAAAGTGGAAGAAATACAGAAAATGAGATTTTCCTGATGAGGTGGTTATTTAAAAAGTACGATGAGGAAAGGTCCCAGCGCACCAACCCTAAAGCTAGGACAAAACCTCTGCCCTTATATAATACCTGGAGGCCAGCTGGCATTGCTGGATTTGCTTCCGATCTTGTTCGTTGGTGGAGATTTGGCAGGTAACCAACTATCACCAGCAGGGCCTGCATGGCCACTTAGCGAGTCGCCCTGAATTATGTCAAACTGGTTGTAGGGCGATCCTCCACGAGCCTTCCCAGGGGGTACTATTGCACCTGAAGCATTAAAAAGATACATTTACACTCAGGAAAGGTTGGGATGTTTATGAGCATGGTATACTAAAACAAAAAAATGCATAAATAGAAGATGCACACTGCTGAGGTAAGACATTCACTAACTTGAAGCATAATTTCATCTGAGCTATTTCACCTCTGGCAAGATGATATTGCTAGGGCGTTCCCAAAATAGCCAGTCCCATTCTCACCATTTTTGTGCATATTGGCATCTTGCGGCCAAAGCCTGTGAAACAAACAAAAGTCCATTGTCACTTGCTCTTTTTACTTTGAATATCTTCAAACAGGGAGTTGCTGTGATCATAAGAAAGGTGAAAAAAAACAACAGCAGCAAATGAAATGTTCAAGAGTGAACTTCCAAGTAAGCCTGTTAGGTCAGTATGCCACCAAGATACTCTCTGTTATTAGGTTTGTCATCTTCAGATATAATGAAAAATAATGCAATTTGATCAAGAGTTGACACTTCTCGTAACCTTTGCTCTAGTGCTTATAGAGAAATTATTCATATCTAGACCCAGACATAACTGGCTAACATTGTAACGTAATTACCATATTAATATGGTAGCTATAGGCAATGCGCCAAATCTCTTTCCACAGAGCACTTACCGGAACCATATCCAGGTATTTGCCCTTTGGTCTGTAAATCTGAGAGACCCACATTCAAAGGATTGGGTACCATGCTGTCTAAATGTGGCTTAGGCCCAACAGGGTGGGATGGTGAATGCTTCATGCCAGGCTGCCTCTGCTGCTGCTGCTGGAGGGCACTGACCATACGAGCAATCTGCAAATGAAAAGACAAAAATGGGGATAAACGGGGATCCTATACTGTAACCAGAATTCCACTAAACATGAAGAAATAGCGACTTGAAACAGATCCAAAGGACCTCGCTCTCTGAAAAGTGCAATCTGAAGTGAGTGCAAACTGAAGAGAGCAGACAACATTACTAAAGCCAGTGCTGCCTTTGCTGCAGACTGCATTTTCCCAGTGCACTTTATACTTCACATGATTGACAAAACCAATGCCACACCTGTTGCTCCTGCTGTTGTCGCACAGCTTGAGATAACTTCCTCTGGCTCTGTAACAGTTGCTGCTGCTGCTGCTGCTGGAGGAGGAGCTGACATGCCTACAAGATAAGTGGGGGTGGGAAGAGTGAAAATACAGAGCTCATCAAGTGAAATACAATTGCCAGGAGCAAGTCACTAGTTCATGCTTTGCTCAGAACTTAGGTAAACTGTTTCTCATTCAACACACTCAAATAAAATGACAATGAATGCATTAAAAGAAAACTATATCCTTCACTTGTTTCTAATTTAACATCATGCAACAGTATTATTAGTACCTGCTTTACTACCATCACTACAAGTCTGAAGAAAACTTCATTGAAAAATCAACAAACAACCACTTTCTGTACAAAGACATTGCTTAGAATCGTTGCTAACCCACTGCAACAGTCACAATAATTACACAGGCCTGTTTAATTTATCTGCTGCACTCTGACAGGGCTCTATTTTCCTGTACAAACAGGGAATACTCATACAAAAATAACATAAGATCAGTAGAACAAAACAGAATTAGAACAAACATAAGAAAACTTTCAGCAGACAATGTGTAAACAGACATTCTCACAAGATTACTAGCTACTTACTAATTGAAACTGGGGAATCTGTGGAAGCTGGCTCAGCATGGCAATCTGTTGTGGAGAAAGCTGGGGGCCCATATTGAAAAGACCAGGATTCAAGCCACTGTTGGGAAACTGTTTGAGCATGGAGGCCGAAACCTGCATGGAAATCAGTTACATATCATCAAGAAATGCACTGCTATGACAAAAGATGACAAAGTAGAAGTATTTCTATAAAGGAATAGGTACGACACCCATCTTAAATGGTGTTCTGGGAAAGACATTACAGATTTATTAACACATCACATTCAAACATGCACAATCTATGACTTGAGCAGAGTGAATACCTCACTTGATCGACACTATACAGTATTACACATGCAGATGCAGACACACACACACAAAGGTTCCTCCCCCAGCCAATCAGTTGCTAAAGACTGCACTAAATTAAAATGCTGATATATATGCAGCTAACCAGTAATCACAGTACTACATTATCACATTAAAAATGTACTGCTTGACAAGGGAAAAAGAAAGGCATTCAGGGAGTCACTGGAGCAAAGAAACAGTGCCTCACAGAAAGAGTTAATCTCTTTGTATGCTGAATAAGCTATAGTAAAAGACAGGAGTAGGTGGAGAAGAATCCGCCCATGTCTCCCTGCATTATTTGAGAGTTACACAAGTCGAATTGAAGAGAATCTCTGAAAGTCTTCACCAAGTCCAAAGCACAAGGTAAACTTGTGCATTTGGAGACCCTGAGGTCTTAGAGCTCTGCCATGCAAACACAACATGTAGCCCTTCATCAGGCCTCTCCTTTCATGGGGGCAGGAAGCACAGCACAAGACTGCTTGAAAAAAACCTAAGCAACCTGTCACACTTCAGAAAAACCTTCAGCCTTCACTTTTTGATGTTTCTAAAATACTTTTCAGAATCCTATGTAAGACACAGGATTCCCGAAATCTACTTTGAGCTTTAAAAATAGTGGTAGCAAGCATTTACCATCAACTGCCTTGGAATAAGATATAAGGCTAATCCTTCTGCACTGAGTTTTAAGCACTTTCAACTATGAATTTTAATTTTTCATCTTATCTAAGTTTTGGATTTCTTAACATCAAGTCAAGACTAAGACAGATGTATAAGTAACCTCAGTGATGTGCTCTGAAGGCTGTAGCTCTACTTTTTACAAGTAACCAGTTACTATAAATTCCTTACCTGGGGAGAAAGAAATTGGGGAGGCACTTGCGCCCGGATATTGGGGGAAGGATTTAGTGGCTGCACAGATGTGTGCATGCCCCTCGATTGTGCTGTGCTGTTTCCAAACAAACCATGATTGCCACCCTATAAAATTAAAGCAGTAGTGAGAAGATGAATCTTTCAGGATAATGGATTTCTATGCTATTAACTACATACCAGTAACAACGAGGCAAGTACTGACTGAAATAGAGTACCCTTAGAATTACTGAGATGTTGGCCCTAAGTCAGCAGTATTCTACCTGGGTTAAAACTGCTGTACTACACTGTAGAGGGAAAAAGCCTGCATCTTGACACTGAACAGTCATGTTTATCCACTTACTTCAAAGCATGTAACAAACTTCATGTCTTACATTTCACACTTTACATGTTGGGAAATTGAAACTTGGGAGTACAAACAACATGTTCAAAAATACATTCCAGTGGCTTAAAAGTATGGCAAGATTGTGTCAAAAAATTTTGGGCCATCATTTTAGGAAACTCAGGTACTTTTCCCGAGTAGGTTATTGAGTCATCACTCATAAACCTATTATTTCTTCTGCAGGTCTTTCACTAACTGAAATTAGAATTCAAAAATTTTATTAAAAATTTTCTTTCTGATGTGACAATTTCAGCATTCTGGATTAGGATGTTTCTCTTTTCCTTTTTTTTTTTCCCACTAAATAGAATTAAAGAACAAGAAAATTTTCAAGTGAGAGTTTTTTTTTTTTCCCCTCCCAGGGATTTATTTTCTAACGCAAGAATACTTGCTGTTTCTTTTGGGGTTTTTTTAATGAGAAATATTTACTGTTTTATAAGCAACTTCTATAATAATAAACCCTACCGCATGAAAAAGACCAAAGATAATTCGTGATTATGTTTCACTATTTCAGCCTCTGAACAGCCTGTCTTTATTTCTAACATCTTGCAACAAAAGCCACAGGAAACGTTCTGGACAGTCTCCTACACTAACAGTTGCATGCTGTTGCTTCTACAAGCTGAAGCTTGTGCTCCAAAAAGGTCTTTAATGTGCCATGATTCTGTCCTTTCATTTTCAAGGTCCTCAGAACTTCCCACCTTCTGCTATGTATCAGGGTGTCTGATTCTCAAATACCTGGGATTCTAAACAGTACATTTTCCATCCCTCAGCCATCATTCTCTGCTCTCCTCCTCCATGCCAGCACTGCTGTACCCAACATAAGTTCCTTGTTTCCAAACTGAGATTGTGCAGGCCTTGTCCAAAACCTTTTCTTCCCTTATGTACCAGGATTCCATAAACTTTGCCTCCCTTCTACCATAATACTGTGTAGCCTCCACTATCCTTTAGCTAAAACAGAAGTTTCTCATCCTGCTTCTATACTGGCAGCATTATGGATTGCCTCATTCACCTACACCTACAGTTCACCTCCTTAATGTACCTTTAGAAGCAACTCAGGATGTCATACTAAGTACATAGGAGGAGAAACAAAAAACCCAAGAGACAAAAGAGTTTTAATTCTGGAAAGAGCTGACTGAGGTCAACTACACATCAAAATCTTTGAGAGGCTTGAAGCTGCAGCTACACTTTCAGCCCTCGCTAGAGCTCAGAGTTCTGCAACACAAATCCAAGAACATGCCGGCACATTTTGGACTTAATCTGATGTTCAACACATTGTGTCACACAGAAACAGAAAGACAACACAAAGAAACACCATTATGTTTGGCATGTGACTACATAAAAGCTAGTCCAGTTGCGATACTTAGGTTCTATTCTTTCATTTCCTAATATTCCTGCAACATTTTCTTCTAGCATAATGCAACATATAATAGCCAGAAATTCTTCCAAACTGCAGTTAACCACTTCATTTCTTCCTCACCATTCCCCCGTATAGAGAACAAGAATACTGCTACTTCAAGAGTTTTTAAAAGGCTGCTAAATCAACCCTTTCTTTGGGTTGTGGGGAAGGGAGAAGGGAACAGGCATAACGCAAAATGATTGAAATTTTTTGAAGGCACATTTTTACATACAAAGTCATCAGGTGGAGTGGAAAAAGTCAGTGTCACAAGGTGGTGGGGCAAATCAACAGCCTCTAACTGGGTTTTAGAACAGCAATTAAAATATAAAGGTTGCCACTAGCTTCATGACTTCTGAAAAGCACATCTATCTGCTGCTGCACTGTGATTCAGGAAACAAGAGGTCAACAAAAACAGATGGAATACATTTTGATCATAGGAACCAAACTGGATTGATTCTCAATGGTCTGATATAGCTGATATTCCCATTAACAATATTAATTTATGTAGTAGGAAAACAAATGCAAGCAACCAACTAACCAGGATTAAGCCCAGGTTGCAGCCTTATAACAATGCATCTTATAAGGTGCCCTGCTTACTTGTCTAGCAGCGAAGTTTTGGGGACCGAGCCCTGAGCCGATTGCCCCAAGGCCGACGTTGGGTAGTGTGGAACCAGAGGGAGACAGCTTGTAGCTGGGAGAAGGGGAGAAGGGAGAGCAGGGAGCCTCATCCCCAAGGCACCCATCTTGATTGGAGAAAGGCAAAGTCAGCTGAAGCAGCAGTTAGCCAACAGCAGGAGTTGGTTAGTGAAGCAACAGAACGCAAGAGGAGAGAAAGAGGGACGGTGAGTGACTAGGAAGAAGCAGTTAATTTGTAATAGCAATTACAAGGACAAAACTTCTGACTCAAATGATCACTTGACAATTAAGATTTTGGTCCAAAGAGATAATCCATAAATTCCTACGGGTTTCTTCTTAAAAACACATTTTTAAGTTCGTTTCTGACGGTGGCTAGTACCACTACAGAAACAAACAAATTTGGAATTAATTCCTAATGTTGGCACACGCCTACGAACATGATTTGCTAGGAATGCATTAGCTCTGCTAGTGGTATTTATTTGTTTGGCCACCAGAGGGAGCTGACAAAACTGGTTTTTGGCCTGTTGTACCAAAATGGAGGAGTTGAAAAATTTATTGACAGTAACACGCCTTCAAAATTTTTAAACCAGACTTCTTATCCATTTTACATGTGATAAACTGTATTTAAAAAACCCCCACCCTAAAGCATCCTGAATCTATTGGACACTCTCCAATTCATAATGTGAAGCAATTAATATTTGATAATAACAGTGAAAGCTTCTATTTAAAATAGGCAAGAATATGAAAGAAACATTATTATAACATACAACAGGTGTCACAGAGAAACAGATGTCATACAGAAGCTTACAGTACATGGACATACAGCATAAGGGATTGCAGAATTTAGAAAGGGTGTTTCCAATAAACGACAGACATGGAAGCAGAAAAAAATTTGGAAGACTGTGATTACTTATGTTTACTTAGACCTAAGCAATTTTTTTATAGTAGTTCACTGTAATCTGTAGCCAAAAGAATCATTGAGATGAAACCTATAATGAATTTCATTGCTACCAACAGTTTACCCTTCAAAGAAAAACAAAGGAATTTCTTTCTGTCCATATTAAGAGCAGTCTGTTCTAGAACAAAAAAACCTCATACTCCCCAGATAGTTTGTCTATGCACAACTGACACCTGTGTTTTATATACACATTCATTCTACACACATAACTCCCCCACACCTTTTATTATTGAGTTTGTCTAAGGTTAGTGCATTTTTAGCACCTCCAGAGAAGTAGGGTAAAAACTGGGACCTTGAACACAGAGGCCGACATTAATTTATCTAAAGCTATTTCTCTCACCTTCTCAAAATAAGGCCCACTATCTGTGGTTCCCATGTCTTTGGAATTAGGTGGTCGGAACCCAGATCGATCCTTTCTCATCATCTCATTAAAATCCCCGAGATTCATGGCTCGTTTATCTACTTCAAACTTCTTATCCGGGAGACCACCTGTGGGGAAAAAAAAAAAATAAAAGAAAAAAGAGGAAAGACAACATCATCAGTGTAAATAATCTCTACCACGTCTCATGACAGCAAGTTCACAGCCAAAGGAAGTATCTTTAAGATTAGAGTATAAATTAGATCTGTCTTACAACTTAGCATAGCTACAGCTATTAGAAGTATTGAAAAATTAAAGTAGGATGTTTAGTTTTTAAGACTGAACAAGCCAATTTAGTTTAGAGTTTAGTGTGAAGTGTTTGTCACAATTTATGTACAGGTACTTCAACTAATGATATTCATTTATACATAATTCTCAATGTCTTCCAAAACTTGCATTGTTATTTATTGTTATTTAGTATCATAGACACACCACTATTTAAGTTTGCCATATAAACTACTCAGCCTTTACTGGCTTTGGCATTCAGAAAGAATTTCTCAAACTGCAAAACCATGTACATAATTTCATCACAACTCTCCTACAGTCACATGAACTTAACCCTTGAAGACCACAGATCATCTCATACAGAGTAACTTCCAGACAGTCAAACAGACTCCCTCAGCCTGTATGCAATGATTACACAATCAGTAACAGAAACACTTTTCAAACACCCCCTACAGTCTCCTGCCATTGTTCAGTGAGTAACCTGGTGGAGCACGAGGAAGAGATGTTAGTAACAGATGATCAAACTGTAACATACACAGTGAACAAGACATCATCTTTCTCTATAAACTTATCATCAGCCCACTGCTGACTGAAGGACGTTTTCTACCTTAACACACTGAACTGCTGCCAAGGAACAAATTTTTTTGTCATATTTGACACCTGTCAGGTATTAGATGCATATTGTTATGTTTAAGTAGATGGAAAACATCCTCCTTTTAAAATATGGACATGATAGAAGTGAGCTTTACTGGTATTTTTCATTTTAAATAATTTCATTTAGTAGCACAGATGGCCTTTCCAAGCACAGTTTAAAACACCTGTCACCACAGTTAACCAAAATCTATGACTGTTAATGAAGCAGGCTGGTGATATTCTGCCTTACCACTGACAAAACACTAAGTCTTTACCAAACAGAGCAGACAGCTAATCACTGACACTTCTCCTCAAAAAAAGCTTCTCAAAGGCAGCATCTCATCTTAATCTCCAATCACAAACTATCAATATTCATAGGTATGTTATTGCCAAGAACCTATGAAATCAACCACTAATTACACAGGTTTTTCTTGCTGGCACAGCTTTCAAAGTTGATCCAGCTTCATCCTCTCAGATGCCTTCAACATCATTTATCACAAAAACACTGCATAAATCATCTACATATCTTGGCTTATAACTGGAGTCATATTGACCTGGATGAGCTCATCTCTTTCTAACATATCTAGAACTGGCTCTGCAAAAGCAGTCACATAAAATGTTTCATACATCTCTATCCTGTCAATACCTACATCTAATCACTACACAATGCCAGCCGTGCACTACCAAAAGGCTTGTGTGCTTTAATTCTAGACAGGAAGCTGCTTGAGAAGAAACTGAAAGTGAGACAGAGTTATCACTATCTGAAATGAAACTGGGTCAATGCCAACACAAGATGACTAAGCCGCAGAAACACCCTTTGGTCTCTTCAGTTATCCTGATGATCCAATCAACTCCAAACATTACTGAATGATGCCTTGTAAAACAGCTTGTTAAATAACATGTAAAGCATTAAACAGCACCTTTGAAGGCTTGAAGCATAGATATGCAAGCCACTTAGTGCTGAGGCAGCTGCTTAAACTTCAATATAAACAAGGCCTTGCTAAGAGAGATGATAGCATTCATTTATCCGATTCATAGAGAATTCTAATGCAACCTTGAAACCTGTCATCTATCTTTTGCACTTGCCAACAGAAGCTATAAATAATGCAGATGGCTAAAGACTAGCTTCACCTTACATAGTACAAGATGACCATTAAATTATGAAAAGTTTGAATTTTACCCCCCGCAGTAGGCAAGAACACTTGTGCATGAATAAATATGAAGCCTCAAACCCCCTATATGCAGAAAAGGTTAAAACTCCAACCATCTTCATAAAACAAGATACTCCATCAGTTCTTGGATTTTTTCCACTATTAACAGCTGTGAGAAACACTGCGAAAAATGCAAAATGAAACAAGAGCTTGAATATGACAATCACGCCCTAGTGAGCGAAAAAACTTATTAAGTAGATCTCATCCACCACCTGCATGCAGCTTTAAAGAAAACAAAAAGGAATGCTATACAAACAAAATTACATAACATGATCCTACAGTGGGAGATAGGAGACAGAAACTGCTGTTGAGCAAAGTTACCTAAAATGTTAGCAAACAAGAGACTCCACATGGTGGAAGTACATACACCCAGTGGGGCAACCCAAATGGGAAAAAACCATCTGAAACATTTTCTGTTTGACCACAAAAATGAAAGCATTTTAAAAAGATACTGGTTTTATACCTTTGCCATAAATTTACATCATCCAAGGCTACTGAGCAAGCACGTGCACTTAAATATTGAGGTGTTGCACCTGAATGCTAAATCAGGTTATGGCTTTGTAACATATTTATCACAGACAGCTGTATGAATTGCATTTGAACCAATAGATATTTGAGATTAATTTCCCATTTTTTGCAGGTGATTTGAGAATTCAGTGATCTGCAGAGGTTGCAACTAATACATTAACAAGAGACAAAGGTGGCTGTCAAACAGAGTGAAGGAAAAGATAAAACATTAAGTGGCTCTGACAAGCTATTTACTGCAGCAAACTTCATGCCTCAGGACGCATACCAGGAGAGATTTTAATGGAAAAAAATTGTATCCCACTTTCAAACTAAAATGAGCTATCTACTGAAGGGCTTTGATAGAAAAAAAAAGATGAAGCAGATCTGCCTCAGGCATGCGATTCATCTATCTCTTCTCTCTTGGTCAGCAAATACAAGTGTCACTCCTGCATCTTGCAATAAAAGCAACACATTTTTCAAACACGGAGAATGAGACCAACGTCGGAATTACTGACAACTGGACCTATTTTACGATGCATGATGATCAGAGCCAAGGTGCCCCATGCATACCAAAGTGAAAGTTTTCTTTGCTATGTGTGGTCTCTAAGCACAGATTTAACTCTGAGATCAATGTGCCTCTATCCATAAACTGGGAAACTATCATGCTAGGAGTTATCTAGTTAGTAAAGCCTGGCATGTTGTAATCCTGACTGAAAACTAGTTGAAGAACTAGCCTACCTCATAAGTAAATCCAACTTTTAAGGTTCAGAAGTAGATACAGGCTAAGCAAAACCGCTTACAGTTTTCCACAAGTAACTGTCACAAGCAACAGGAGCAAAACTGCTAAGGAGAGAAGTAACAGAAAAGCTTGAGGAAGATTTGGTACATTCTTAGTCTTTGAAATGGAATACAAACTATAATAAATGCCTCTACCTAGGATGAAGGATGCCACCATTAACTGGCTTACTAAATTTACAGAAGTGCAACACATCAAGACCAAATACGTAACCTTTCTGCACCATTTCACAGGATATTTTGAGCATCAGCCATCTTTCTCAGAAGGTATAATGGCTGTTACGACTCTGAGAGCTGAAAGTTCTAAAGGATCCAAAAGCTTAATTTGGAGATAAAGAACTAAGAGCTATAATCACCACAACCCAGGCTAGCATCCACTTCATTTGTATATTCTTAGATCTGTTCTTCAACAGCAGCACCTGAAGGCAGATGAGAACCGAACATCCAAGATGACAACTTATCTCTGTCTAGAAGATTTTTAAAGCAGCATGATACAATCAGAGTCTAAATTCTACACAGGCTGTATGAGGCCAAAGTAGAGAAATCCAAAAATTCTGTTACCTTCGCCAGAACTGTGTTGAAATACATCAATGCATGCTTTAACATCTCTTACTGGGATCCTTAATTATTCAGAAGAAAGCAATTTTGGGGAAAATTAACTACTTAATCCTCTATGAAGTGTGATACACATTTTAAAAATGCAACAGATTCTAAGCTAAGAGACACTGCAGCTATTCAGATTGCATTAAAATACTGAATCTGGAGCTGATATTAAATGCAACTAAGTCTTGGATATAACAACCCTGCCTTTGGTACCAGCAAAGACTAACAGATATTCCCTATAAAAGAAGGTTTTGGTTGAGAAAATCCTGACTACAGCATCACATATGATGCTACAACAGTGGCAGATGGGGAAGTACTACAGCTGTTGACAGCACTGGTGCAAAGATGGTCAACATCAGAGCAGACTTCTTGCAAGGAAAAATATTGGAATAATTCAGTCAACAATACTAGAAAGGCACAGAAGAGGTATGGCAGAATCAGAATAGCACAGAAACTGCCATTACAGCACAATGTCCAGTTTTACAAGAACTGTCTTCTGTAGTCCCTAAAATTTACTACTCAAATCAAAAATGAGTATTTACACTGCTTGCATTTGCAGGGTTTGAACTGATGCTATCTAGTTATCCATTGCTACCAGAAGCTCCCACAGTACAGGTTCAATTTCAATCATGTAGCCATTTTATCACTAGGACAGAAGACACTTCAGGGGAAACCAGTATCTACTACTGGATTACTTTCTGGGGGAGGGGGAACACATCAGACTAATCAACTGTCTTCACATACATAAAAATATAAAACGGAAGGTGGTATTTTTCTGAGAGCTGAACAAACAGCTCATGCTACTATGTCCTTCCCTACTGTCACTATTTGACATTTAGATGTCAAAAGAAAAAAAATTAGGCAATGAAACAACTCAAAAGTTGCCCCCAAAACAGGTTCCAATGCACTAAACTGTAGATGTACATGACTCTGGGAAGCGAGATTACTTAATGGTTAGCACATAGCCAGTCACAGACCTGAACACTAACTTCTTTGGCATGTAATACCTCAGAAGTTAACAGAATCTATCCTTCATGTTGGATACAGCCAACTTATATTGCAGACCCCATGCCATTCTAACTTACAGCAACGAGTTTCAGGACGTATTTCGAAATTAACTGTACTTGACTTGTAAACACGAATTTTAGTTGATCCAGAGATCCCACAGACTGTCCCAACACAGAACTACCTTTGCACATGGTTCTTCAGAGATACCACCACAGGATCATCAATAATTAATTCAGCTGTCGGGGACCACAGAAGTCTCCCACCAGAAACTTAGAACCAGCAACAGAATAAGCACTGATTCCAAGTCAGTCACCTCCCCCAGCCAGCTTGGATTAATCGAAGTGGTCAATTCCAACTATCATTTAGGATAGCGTTTTCCACACAACCCATCTGCCTTAGGCTGTGCAGTATGTACAGTGAGGTTACCAAGAGTGAAAAATCTAGTACTACTGAGCAGTAACCTGTAATAGCCTGAGGCAAGCAACTGAAGAAAGCAACGATAAAAGCTAGTCTTTTCCCTCACATCACCTCCAAGGAGCTGTGGTAACTGGGATGTCCTACTGCACAGAGCTAAAACAGTCTTCCACCTAATGAAAAGGGACCCTTCACTTTCTTGGAACAGTAGCAATGAAGACAAACTACATGGAACAAAATAATTTTATAGGATGTTCCTTCCATAAATTATACCTCCATTCTGTACAGGTGTACATCCCAATCTCGCATACCAGCATCAGCTGTTTAACTATTTAAAGCCTGCAGTCAAGGTACTGGGTGCTAAAACTGTCTTTCTATTACATGGAGTGCTAAAAGTAAGGATCAAACCTTTCCAAAGCATAGCATGTCATCCACATAAAAATACTACACATAATCTCAGCTTTCAAATGCATTTGAATTAAATTATACGTACCTACAGACAAGTCCATCTTACTGCCTGGAATGTCCTCAGTTTGACTCTGGGGGTGGAAAGAAAAAAATCAGTTCTGGCTTCTATGAAATGCTGAGGAATGTTTCAGAAAGCAGTGCTTGATGGTTAAAGGTGGAACGAAGGAAGGACATCCTTGTGCCAATAAAAGTTTTATTTTAAACCAAAATCAATTACAAGGATTCCTGATATCACCCTGGACACACCTCACCTCAACTCTCTAATGCTGTGTGTGGCAAGTTTACTGATATGGAACCAGACACATGAACGCATGCAACAGACAGAGAAAGATGGATAGACAGCTGCTCTGTTAAATGAACCTCTGTCCTCATGTTCCAATGGTCAAGAGATGAAACACTGAAAATAGTGGCCAAAATGATAGCTCATCCTCATGACCTGACAAGTCATCAAATCCTGAAATGTGCTGCCAAGTTATTCTTTAGTTGGCAGTCTGGGACAGGGTGTTCTCAGAGCTTTCAGAAGCATCTACGGTCTAGCAGACTGAATTTGGGCTTAGAAGCCAACAGACATTACAAACTAATCCTAGTCGTGTCAGTGACAGTTTCTCCAGCCCTAGGCTTCTCACAGAACCTATCTTTCACTAGCCTGTGCTACATAGTATTCCTGCTTCACAGGACCACAGTTGGCGCAATATTCTGTAATGTGTTTTACAAATCAGCATGTCAGAAGTTCTTAAAAAAAATTTTCTATGTAACCATTTTTAAAGGTACTTCCCTGCAGATCTGTCTTTTCACTCCTTGGTGTGCTGTTTATTTATTCACTTTACCAATCAATCTTTAAGTACTAATGAGTCCTTTTTGTTCAAAATAGACTCTGCTGTGCAGTATTTAAAACATAATTGGCCAAGACAGGCACAAGGCTGTAAATCTCCTTTTCTGCTTGGTGGCTGAGATTCAGAACGAATAGCCTTGGACTAACCACAGATGTCTGACACTACAGTCAGGAGGTGAGGCCTCTACCTTGAGTACTCTAAAGAGCATGTTATGAAAACACTACTAATAAAAAAACCCTAAACCCCCCAAATTCTATTACTTGCAAGGAAACTGCAATCGCAGAGCAACAGCTGTCAAAGTAATTTTGAAGAGTCAAAGCAGATCTTGGGTTTTTCTTGAGAAGCCATCCTGACTAGCAAGGAAGTGCTGAATACCCATGTATTCTAATAAACATGCCAGCATAGCAAATGCAGACAAATAAGTAGTCACACACTGTGAAACAGCTGATCTTTTGACTGATTTAAAGCTTACTGCTTTTTTACAAAGTTGGATTTTATATTTAAAAAAATTTACTTACTAGCAAGCCCATATTTGAAAACTGTTTGGATAAAGGGTTCATCCATGAATCACTATTTCCTCCTTTTAATGAGCACTGCAGGGAAAAAAAAAACAACAATATTGTTAAGCAACTTCTTGATTTCTTAAATTGTTTCATCCTTGAGATGCATTAAGTATCGAATGAAAATCCTGGCATCAGAGAAATTAATCTCCTGAACAAATTACTTCAAGTTTTTGCATGATTGGCAACTTTTATCAAATACTTTTTTCTTTTCTCTCTCACAAAATTTTTCATTATTAGGTATATCAAACTGGATGAACACTTGCTGTGTAGCATGTTTATCACACCTTTGGTTTCATTCTGGAATCTGGAAAGCTTTGTGAATATTATTCTCCACCCGCCCTGTTACAGTTTAATACATTCTTTAATCCACCAAATACAGAGGTGGATTTCTTCCTTGACTTTCTTCCCTTTAGTATGGTTTCTCTTACATGGGCACTGTCCTGACACGGGTCTCAGTTTGGCCTTACCGTAGTTTTCAGGTGATCAAAACCAAAACTGAGCACAGTTCAACAGAAAAGATATTGATAAGAAACATTTCTGGACAGTTGCTTTGGTGGTTAAACCAAAACTTTAATTGAGAAAAAGTTCATGAGAACAATTTTTGCAAAATAGGAATTGTAGAACTCCGTACCATGTCACAACAGTATTCCCACATCCCAGGAAGCTGCTCTGCACTTTGTCTTTTGAGTTTGCCCTACCTATTTGATTAGAGGTAGACAAAGCATAGTCATTCCAATATTAACACAATACCAAGTGTTACTGTACAAGAGAACTTTAACACAAACAAGCCTCAGAAAGCAATCCACTTGGGATTATAGCCAAGCTCCTGCTCCTGTTTGAGGCCAAAGGTCAGTAACAATCAACACAAGTTAGACCTAACTCCAACAGTCAGTAGAAATAAGAAGTGCATGTGCCAAAGGGACTGTGGAATCCAAACTTCAGCAGGCTATGCAAGAACAGCAACAGCCTAACACAGGAAGATGTGTCAACAAGAGAAGACTAATAGCCTTGGGATACTTATTGCTCAGTTTCATTTAGTAATGGCTCTGCAGCATACATACCAAAAGAATTTGACACCTACTGGTAGATTTATTAGTCACAGCAGGTGTAATACACTAAAACAAATACAGAAACCTCAGAGTTATTACACTTGTAACAGGCACCTTTCTAGCTGAATTCTGCAACACGTTTTTAAAAGATGAATTGTTATAATGCTCTAACATATCAGTCATACTGCTTTAGACAACACAGTAGTTATGAATCACTCAAGTGTTTTACCTTCATTTGTGTTTTCTTTCCTCCTTGCCCCCAGCTTGTTGAGTTGTGGGAAGAACTGCTTCCCTGAGAGCCTGCTGTGTTCCAGACTCCTCCCTCCTCCTCCTCTTCCCAGCTGGAATGACGCGTTCCTGTCACTGGCCCATCACTCTCTCCCCAGCCATCTTGCATAGATTTAGAACCTTTAGAAAAAGAAGAAAAGCTCAAAAGCAGCCTACAATTCCATGCAGCTGGTGACTTGACACTGCAAGATTAGCTGAGATCATCAGAACCCCAAAGAAGAGAGAGAGAAAAAAAAGTGTCTTCACTAACAGCTGTAAAAACTTGTGCATGAATCCCAGCACCCACGAGTTTTGATGGCATGTTAGCATGGCATGTTTTGCAACTATTTTAAAGCAACAACAAACCCTTAAAGATATAATAACCATAGGAACCTCCTCTCTTCTACAGCGGCATCTGAATCTCTTTAAAAGGTAACCTCTTATTTTCTAGTGTAAATGAAAGACTTCAAGGACATTTTAAAACCAAGTGTGCTGAGGACTCTGGTTCAGGTGGTTTATCAATTATTTTCCTCTCTTCCTTCAAAACCGTAACATTTCCCTTGCACTATACTCTTTCACCAGACTACAGAAACAAAGAACTTCAAGGATTAACAACTAAGTAGAATCTGAAGGAGAGGATCTGACATTGTACTCAGGTATACGTAACACTACAAGTAGTTTAATGTGAAAAAAAACCCTCTACTTGAATCCCTGTTCTTAATGTCACTAAAAAGAGTTATTAGCAATGCTCTTTAAGTAGAGATGCTGTTACCAGAAAGCTACAACCATTTCATCAAATCAATTGAGACTCAGGACTTTTCCCTGTTGGCTTCTTTCCTTACTGTTACTCTCTAGCACCAGCTGTCAGGCAGCTGAAGAATTCTAACTTCTACTGACAAGCCAACAAGAGCCCAAATCCTCGTCTTGTCCACTGTTCAACTGTTCTCCTTCCTGCTGTAACTCTTCCTTCTGGCTTATTTCTTCCACAAGCATTTATCTCCTTTGGGAAGGATTTCCATCACGATCACCTTTTTCGTAACTAATTCTTCAACTGTTTGGCATTTGAGTGTGGAAATCAGGGATAAGAATATTAATATATGTAGCAGAAAATCTGAATATTAAAAAAGTAGGAATTGTAATTAGTCTATCAAGAAGAACTCTACCTTGATCATGCCAAAAATAAGTACAGCAGCATTTAATGGTCGTTTAAGAGCTACCTTAAGATCCATCGTAAATAACAACTCAGATACGTCACAGGAAACACAACTTTTTAAAGTATATTCATTTGTGTACCAAGATTGAGTGCTGCTTAGGAAACATATTGGTCCAAGCATAAAAGCCTACCTCTTGACCCGTTAATTGTGCTACTTGCACAGAGAAGGCTACATTTCAGGATTATGACTGCAGAGTCAAGAACTTAATCTGGAAATGTCATATAAGGGGTAGCCTCTTCAGTTTTATTTCCAGCCACAGTGTTTAAATATAGTACTATGGTCCTGGTTTTAACTACGTGACCAGAGATATTCTTCTGCATTGACAGCTCTCAGGTCTGAAATTCTTGAACATGAATCTGGACAGTGGTGTAAAGCTGACTTGTCTGTAGGTTTCCAGCTTCATTCCTTGCATTTGTTGAGTGAGAAGGCACAAACAGCCATAGTAAGCAAAGGAAACTTCCAAGATGCAGACAAAATAATGATGTTACAGCAAAAAGACTTTATTCCTACTTCTGCCAGAGAATTCCTACGCAATGCTGGTAAGACTACATAAATTCTTTTTTTTTTTTTTTTAAATTTTGAAGAGGTGGGTAATCATCTATGCTTCCCTTCTTTGGCTCTAAACTCTTGTTTACTTTTCCAATCATTGCTAGTCTCTGTTTCCTGTGCTTACCTTCAACCATAAATTATGCCTTTGCAGGCTCTTTGTTCCAACTTATTCTTCCAATTTATCCAAGACATTGAATATCTCCCCTTGCTCCACTGAATAAGGTAGCTTTCTTCTTCATTCCTTCCAGGTGCCAATTACAAAGGAGTTGAGAGAGCAGTCACAGAACATAGGAGAATGAAGATCTCTGCTATTTACACTGGTAACCTACTACACCCCAACCTGATACAGCTGTCACAGGGAAATTCCCTGTATTTCACTCCTCTAGATTTGGGGACAGCTTGCATACAAAATAGTACATATACGCTGCAGGTCTCTGGTTATATCACACATGCAGACCAGTTAGGACAAGCAAGTGATCATGCACAGTCTTTAAAGACTATCTCAAGTATTAATAAATCCATAGAATTTGCAATGGATCATTAGCATTTCAGAGGCTCCTCTTTTCATCATATTTAGGTGGCTTTTTACAGATGAAAGAAGAGATCCATCTAAAAAAAGTCTAGCATCCTGAAAAGTGCTAAGTTTGTGTGGCAGGCACAGAAGTACTATAGCCATCCATGAAAGGTTGCTATAACATTAACACAAAGGAAGCAAAGCCTTTCCCCCCCCCCAGTTTTGTTCCATAAATGGCCAAACTATTTAATTGGGTTGGGAGGAAGGGAGAACGACCCAACAGCTGCAATCTGTACAGAGCATTTCATTCCTAACAATTACATGTTGCAAAAGCAACTTGTAACTGGAAACAGTTTTACAATGGGTATCATCAGTCAAGTCAAGTAAGAGTCATGTATTACCAATATTTCTTACTGGATACTTCATATCCAATGTTATTGGCTTTGGCTACAACACTGCTACATTGTATCAGCAAGTGATTGCTTTTCTTTGTTGTATTTTCCTTAACAAGAGTGAGTAAAAGTCTACAAAGAGTTTACATCAGCACGAATAATTTCCACAAAAATAAAACTCTTCATACAGCAGAATTTTAACTTCAAAGCAAATTTTTAAAAGATTTCAACAACTTCTTGTTCATGAGCAACACAGCTGTAGGCAGGCAACATCCAGAAAATAGTCATCCATTTAGGTTCAACCACAAAAGGAAGTTCAGTTCTTAAGAGTTACAAATATCCATTCTCATACAATAAAAAAATCCATTCAAAGGAAAGCTGCATTACCAAAGCATAGATTACCATGTAATGGTCTCCACAGTGAAATTCGTACTATGCGTTCCTTTTTCTGATATGATCAGGAAAAGAGATTTATCATGTAACAAGTTTATAAGCTAAGTAACAAGTGGGCAGCAAGACAAGAAAAGATATTTTGAGGAAAAGACATTTCCCCACTCAGACACTCTAATGCTTTAACACTTCCACAAACTGGAGTTGCCCATTTAATTGCTTAGTTAAGAAATTTTTCTTAAATGAGAAAGTTCCAGTCATTTGTAAGCAATTAATCATTCATCCATCAAAACCTTATGTGACATTCAACATTGCTACTAGGCCTCACGTAACGACTCCTCCATGGATGACCTATATCAAAAGGCCAAACACTAAAAACTCTCCAGGACCATTGCAAAGAAACTGGTTATCTGGCCTATACTCACTAGATTTCATGGCATTCGGGGCGTTGGAAGGTGCATTCCCCCAGCCTGTTGTCGATGCTCCTGTATCATCTACTTCACCCCACCCGGGACTGGTTTCATTTGGCTCACCCCAGGCGGACGTACCATTATCTGGAGCAGGTGGATTGCTTTTGCTCCAGACTGCACAAAGGAGAAAGAGTTTTCATTACAGACCATTTAGACAATGAACTATTTACTGCAGTGCAGCACCACGTCATTAATCTACTGCTTCATTCTTTCTGCTGAGGACTTCAGATTCTCAACAGCGTGGGTGCAACTGAACTGACAACTGTTCACATCAAACTTAGAGCGGGCACTGACCTCCAGGGATGAAAATGAAGAGAATGCTACGATGAGTAATATTCTTCTTCCAGGTTAAACATCTAATGCTGTCCTATCTGGTGAGCTTTTGTGACCAATTAAAAGCACCAGACTAACTCAGGGTTTTCATATACTGAAGACAGAACAATGACATATTTGAAGTATGTATTAAAATGAAATAGTATTCTTTAAAGCATGTTTGAGTCAGAGAAGAGATTACATAACATCTTAATATATTTCCAGACTATGTAACTTTTTCTTGTCCTTATTTCTAAGAAGAAAATATTTTGCTAAGTGCTCTTTACCACTCAGCAGTCAAACTGAGCTAAAAAACTAAATCACAGACTCGCTCCATGTCATGTGTCAACCTTGTGTTTCAGAATAAAACGTTTTCGACTAAAAAGCAAAGAATTTCTCCCTGCTTCTCTAACAATTAAAAGTAACAAGTGTGATTTAGTCTGGAGAAAAGGGAGGCTTGGGCAAGACCCTACTGATCTCTACAACTACCTGAAAGGAGGTTGTAGCGAGGTGGGTGTTGGTCTCTTCTCCCAAGTACCAAGCAATAGCACAAGACGAAATGGCATCAAGTTGTACCAGGAGACGTTTAGATTGGGTATCAGGAAAAAAATTCTTCACCTAAAGGGTTATTCAGCAATGGAATAGGCTACCCAGGGAAGCGGTGGAGTCACCACCCCTGGAGGTATTTGAAAGACTGTAGATGTGGCACTTTGGAACATGGTTTAGTGGTGGACTTGACAGTGTTGGGTTTACAGTTGGACTCTATGATCTTAAGTGTTTTTTTCCAACCCAAACGATTCTATAGTTCAATCTGTTCTTCAGAGCTCAAAATGAATATACAGGTTTGTCAGCTAACAAACATTTTCTTTTACTGGCAAGCTGCCCAGTATTCAGACCACAGTTACTGAGGCACAACAAGCACAGGACTGATTGACTGAAACTCTAAAGACATTTTAAATACAGAACCAAATATTCAAATAAGAAATTGGTTTTCTTTATGGAATAAAACTATTAGGAATTGGAGGCTGCACAAGTATCTCTTATGCACTAAGGTTACATTCATATACGAATGAGGAGCTTGCTGAAGAAAGGAATAAGACCAGTACCTGATGCTTGTGATTTGCTAGTCATTGGAGTAGGCAGGCTTTGCTCCCGTGGGGCCTGTCCTCCTTGTGAGTTCTTGTCCCACAGGTTCACATTCTTGTAGTTATAACTGCTAGGATCTCCCCATGCTGAAGTGCCATCATCAATATCCATTTTTCGACTGATCGACTGTGGAGAAGGTTCTTCCCAGCCACTCTGCTCCTCCTCTTTGGGGGCAGCTGGCTGTGGTCCGCTGTTCCAGTTCGGGTTTGGAGGTCGCCCATTACTTGGAGTTTGGGGTGGTGGACCCCAGGAACCAGAAGCCTCCTGCTGTTGCTGCTGGTGCTGTTGCTGCTGCTTGTTCCAGGAGTTGGGTTGTCGACCCGTCTCATTCCATGCTGAAGTTCTTTTACAATCATCCCATCCACCCTTTGAAGCAGCGCTTGTATTTGCACCATTACCCCAAGTTCCAATCTCATTTTGCCCACCTTCACCCCAGCCAGACACTGGCTTGTTTCCTGCACTTTCCCAGTTACTGTTTTTTGTTTGGTCAACTTCCTCTCCCCAACCGTTCTTTCCAGAAGACCATCCTTGATTAGGTTGCCGTCCACCCCATCCCTGATCTTTACTAGAGCTGTCATTCCAAGAGGAAGATGATTTTTCTTCTGGTCTTCCTCCTCCCCAGTTAGAAGAATTGGTGTTCTTATAGTCATTCCATCCTCCAGTATTTTTGGGGTCCTTCCACTCCGTTGGGTTTGAGAGCTCACCCCATCCAGACTTTATTTGATTGCTTTGGCTGGGTACATCGCCCCAACCCCCTGAGTTCTTTGTCTGTGTGGCAGAGCTCTCCCACCCCTCAGTTCCTTTATCAGACTTCCCCTCGGGCCGTGGCATCTCTTCAATATCCCATACGGTATCTTGCTTAATTTGAGTTTGACCCCAGCCGGTGTTTGAAAGCACACGGGGGTCCAAATCAGTCCTGCTCAGCAAAGTCTGCAAGACTGCCTGGCAATCAGGATGTGTAGGCCTATATGATCGGCGTCCAGAATTATGACTGTCACTACTTCCTGCTTTGTGGTTGCTTCCAGTGCTTTGACCTCCAACCTCACTTCCTGCAGAGCTGGAAGATCTTCCCCAACAGGGAGCCTGGGAATTGCCTTGGTTTTCAGGAAGAGGGTGGCCTTTTTGATTGTCCCATGCTCCAGTGCTAGAATTTGGTTGGTTTGGACCACTCCATTCTCCAATCTTCAGTTCATCAGACCCAGACAGCTGTTTCCATTCTCCCTGAGAGACCCCAGATGTTAATTTGTTCCCTTCACCCCATTTGCTTTCATTCGCATGCTGAGGGCCAAAGTTCCAAGACCCACCACCCGTAGACCGGTTATTGTTATCCCAAGAATCACTTCTTGACCCATTAGGTTTTTGAACAGAAGCTCCTTTCCAGGAGTCCTCTCTATCCTTTCCATTGTTCCCATGGTTTCCAGAATTGCTCTGCCCAGAGACCGTGTCAGTTCCAGAAGACCCCCTAGCTGTACCCCAAGATCCAACACTCCCAGTCTTTCTTTCTCCAGTGCTTTGTGAAGGGGTGTCAGTGCTCCTGGAAGGGTTCCCCAAGCCCATTTCAAAGGACATTCCCTTATTCTCCATAGGGTTTGGTGAACTTAAGTTCAAGGAGTTAGTGTTTCCATTTTTTGGTCCATCAGTGTTATGAATTTGAGCCTGTTCTCTGCCAGAGACAAAGTTAACACCCGCATTTTCCATCTTTGACTGCTGTTCCCTAGAGGTCTGACCTAATGTGCTAATCTGTGCATTGGAGCTACCACTATCAGATTCCAAAGTCCCTTTCCTAGAATTGCCCTCTTGAACCAGTGCTGGCCAAGCAGATGGGTTGCTATTTGGGTTAAAGTTGCTGAAGCCAGAACCAGTACCGATTCTATCTTGCCCACTCAAGTTCCTCCAATTACTTAGTCCATTGTTACTCTCGGCAGCAGGGTTGGAAGATTGAACAGATTTAGCCTTGGGATCAGATTTCCAGGCCCCAAGATTACATTCGTTTCCAGCGCTTCCAGACTGGCACTGGCTTCCTTTTCCTTTGTTACTAGTGGTGCTTCCTGGCAGAGTGTTCTTCTCCAAGCCAGGGTTCGAGGCACTGTTGTTATCGGTGGTGTTTTCGGAAGAAGACTCAGCATCTTTGCTGGCAATACAAGGCCACTCTTCCATGTCAGACCCGTCTACAATCACCTTGTCCCAGATGTGAGTTGGGTTGGCGTTGGTGCCGTTGTTGGAGGAGGCTCCAGGACCCCAAGTGGAATTTGCATAATTTGAAGCAGCAGCACCTCCAATTGCTGAATCTAAAAAAACAAACCACAAAACCATACCCAAAAAGGTCATTAATAATCAATATTATTTACGAGCACTGAACATCACATTTTTCACACCACTGTTTACATCAATAAGAACCCTCCCCTCAAATGTGTAACTAAGTTGCTTTGGAATACCATCAAACTGGAAAATGCCACTGGAAATACTGAAAAAAACTTCTTTCAACAAACTACCCACAAGCATTTTGTGGGGTTTTGAATTCACCGTTGACTCACTACTATTGCTAGAGTCCAGCTCTAAGTTCAACACAGTAATTATAACCCAGTTAATGAACCTGCATGGTCATTACTGATACTGGTTGTAGACTTTTCAAATATACGTTTAAAATCATACTATATGCAGAACAAGAATGCGTATGTGCACACATTCATATGCCTGCATGTGCACATGGAGTCAGCTGTTGGTTTGCTACTTGGCTGACTCAAAGCAACTACAATTTATTACAGATCAAAAGATAAAAGACTGAAGACGAAAAGCATCTAATGAATATATGAAGAAGTCTATCCTTCAGCTTCCAATATATTTTCAAGTTGATTTTGCCACTAGGAATTTCTTTCAACCCTTTGCAAAATAAAATTATTTCCAAAAGTTACTGTAAACTGAAAGAGTCCAAAGTTATATAAATTACAATTTCTATGTAGAAATGTGCAAGCTGTATTCAGCATGTAATTACCCCAAATTTGTGTCACTGCTATATTTACCCTAGAAACCACAGTCTGTGGTTTTGCAAGCAGCTATGCTGATCTCTCTGCCACTGGATGGAGGCTAGTAAGACATCTCACTTTTCCTTCTCTCTCACCAGCTCTACCTACTTCAAATTCCCCAAGTTTCACCTCTCATTTGTGACAGTTCTGACGGCAGTTAAGCCTTTTAACTAAGACAACTGTATTCACTAACGCAACACAAATCTGTCCACCTTTTGATGGCTTAGTTTTTTCCTGGCTTAGCACATTGTGCAGGATAACCTACAAGTTCAACGAGTTACTATAAGGAAATTAGCAGGATGAGAGACAACGAATGGGGCCCCTTTCTTTCATCTGTGGTGAACTATTATTACGCCCTGCATGGTATGACTTCACATGGACAAGGTTTTACCATAAGGGTGGTGAATCACTGGAACAGATTGCACACAGAGGCAGCAGAGGCCTCATCCCTGGAAACATTCAAGGCCAGGCTGGATGGAGCTCTGAGCAACCTGGTCTAGTTGAAGATAACCCTGCTCACTGCAGGGACTAGATGACCTCTAAAGCTCCCTTCCAACCCAAAATATTCTACAATTCTATGATATTTGTCTATAGTTTTGAAGCAGATATAAATTAACACACTGCCACAATGGATGAAGTCTATGTCAGTGCTGGCAGCGTGTCTGCATATATGCAGACATGTTCTCATTAGTTTAAAATGTCAGCCAAGACTCCCTTGCCATCCACACAACCACCTTTGATCCTCTAAATAATTTAAGTCCATTAGTACTTCAGTGTTGCTCTCTATACAGCGTTCCCCTCATTTTTCTATGTATTTTTTCACACCAAAGGACCCTAAATTGCCCTCACCACAAATTCCCAGTGATGAAGACTAAACACACTCCCTTCTACAAAACCATGTACTGAACCCTAAAACATTAGTCTTCTTCAGTTATCCCACCCAACCAGTTAAACTTATTTTGCAGACCATAAAGTTCATAGTAACATCTGCATCAGTATTCATTCCTGAACATATATTGTTACTACCAATACTGGCTCGCATGACAGCTTCCATGAAATAAGGCATAACGACCTTAAAGTGGATTCCCCCCCTGCCCCACTCCTATGTTATTTACGCAAAAGCGAAGACCACAATTTCTGGCTCCTAATATAAAATGAACAGATCAGCTTTCAGTGCCTGTCTCCGACTTTCAGTTCATCAGCTTAACCAATGAACATCCACTGAATGCCTTCCAGATTCCCCTTCACTGAGGGCCACCAGTAAAGATCCAGACTTCACAGCAAGGTTAGAATTCTCTTGTAAGCTCTCAATACTGATGAACAGAAGTTTGTCTTCTCCATTAAATCCTAGCCACCAAGATCCAAAAGACCAAGCAGCTGCCATGCACATTCTGTTCCTTCTGTTGCCTTACTCTTAAATGCAATCTTAATAGCACAGAAGCGTGACACTTAACCAATACTTATACCTGGCTATCTTTTTAGTACACTGAGTAACAACCCCCCACCCCCCATTTAAAAACTTTCTGATTAGACTGATCACAGGGATAGCTTAAGGACAGCCAAAGTGAAGTTCAAAAGACTGCAAGGTTGCTGTCTTTTGAACTTAGCAATGATTCAGTGAATGAATGATGCATAGGCAACTGTGCACTTAGCAAGATGTCCACATGGGTGATTTCAACAGAGCATTTCACATGTCATTTCTGTGAAGACATTCTAAAAGTATTAAGATTGGGATGCTTGCTAACATAGTGTACTAGGACACAATTTAATAGACTTTTATAAAACCAGCCTCCCATTGCTGTATTTGACAGTGGCAACAAAATTTTGGCCATTGATGGTTTTTGTCTTAAGATAATGAATAAGGGCTCTTGGTTCTTAAAGAGACTCTTCTTTAGCAACAAACCGGCTGAAGATAAACAAGTTTCTGATTTGTCCAAAATGAAAACAAAAAGTTACTAGCAAATGACTGCTTTTAAGGATGAAAGTATGGAACTGAAATAAGTGAAAGTATGGAAATAGAGTACTGAAATGAAGATGCAGTTTTGCTGTGAGACATGGTGGTGATTCTTAGAGGGCACTAACCACTGAAAGACTTTCACCAATAAAATTTCAGCTTTGTTTTCCAAAATTGTCTTGTACATCCTGAATATCATCGGTATTGGAAGAATATATGCACCAGCCTCCACCCCAACCCCTTGTATTGCTACGAGACAATCGTAAATCTGGTGTCATCTTTCAGGGAACTAGAGTTTTGCCATCTTACAGAAGCATTTCAAGTCCGGTGGAAAGAGATCCACGTAAAGAAGGATTATGTATTGAAATTTTGTACTGAAGCCTCATCAATACCATCTACAGCTATTTGCCAAATACAACAAGGCAAAGGAGTAGGTGAGCTACATTATTTTCCCCTTTGGGAACCTGCTTTTGTTTTCACCAGGGATGAATTAACCACAGTATCTGTGCACAAGTGCTGCACGGAACTGAGCCCAATCTGAAATCCGACATGTGAACAGCCAGGATCTCAGATGATATTAATGACATGCGAGACAGACAGCAACACCATACTTCCATAAGCACTTCGATGGAGCACCCCAAGTGACAGCCCTGGCCTTGCTCTTGTCCAGCTGCTCATTCTCACTCCTCTGGCACATTACTCCCAGGTGCTAGCACACATGTTCCCACTGATATTCAAGTGAGCTGATGTGGTAAATCACACAGACTGAAATTAGTTTTAAAAAACAACCTGGGTTCATTTTAGTCCAAGTCAGCTCCCCATCCCAGCTACCTGTGTTATGGTGCTGAAGTCTGGATGGGTCGAGGCAGGTCTGAAGGACCCTTATCTTTCTTGGCAACACTCCTGACTTGTATCAGGATAAGGCAACTAACCATTGTCATAAAAAGTTGCCACAATCAATAAAATACAACTATGTAACATCTTAGTAGCTAATGCACCATTACACTAAATGTAAAAATATGAGAATTCACAAAATCAAGTTTCAGTCTCAGAAAAACACTAGGTGTCAAATTAATTACACAGAACTTAAGGAGCCTCTAAAACACTTTAAAATGGTCCGCATATAGTACAGCCAACAGCAAAAATATGCTGCTCATGAGAAATATTGAAAACCTTTAGAATGCTTCACTACCATAAAGTCTCCTTTGACAGTCTACTACCACCACTACGAAGGTATACCAATGCTGACATAATGCTAGCATTTTATACACAGTTGAAAGACTTTCAGGTGGGGTTTTTTCCCCTCTTCATATTCCCAGTGTTTTATCAAAATCAGGCATCTCTAAGAGATCTGTTTTTAAACTCATTAGCTGAAACTTTGCCACTGTAGTTTGAAATTCACTCCCCCCAGCCCTTATTAAATAGAGATCATCAAAGACAACACGTCATCTATCAAACAGGGATTTGCTATAAAGGAATTCAAGTACTGAAACCACAAAAGAGAATTATTCATTTTCCTAGAATCCTTTTCAATAAAGACAGCCACTAGCTTAGTTGATTCTGGAGTTCCAAGTCACCTCTTTTTAATTCTGAACCACAGAGAACTATAAGAAGTTCATGCTCTCCAGGACTGTGGTTACAAAAACTCATCCCATTAATCTGGCATGGTTTTCAAAGGCAAACTCCGACATAGTGGTATCGTTATTTTCTTCTTTTGACTTTCAAGCATTTATTATTCCTTTTTTAAACACCCTTATTGTTAGAACTGGAGCTGTCCTTGACTTCTCAGATCACCTTCTTTAGAAGGCAGATGTCTTGAGTGGAATGTAGTATTTCCTTCTTAAGTTATGATAGTACAACAAACAACATTTACTGCAATTCCCCAAGGGTCTACAAAATTCAGAAGCAGTCATAATTTCCCCATGCTCATAAACCAAATAATCTTAAAATCAATTTATCTTCTGTAATTCAAAGTGAACAGAAAAGCAAAAACAAGACAGTCACCACTTTTATAAAAAGGTTCATCTAAGAAGAAAACTAAGGTTACCACCAAAAAAAAGTCAGGAGCAAAAGGACCACCTTTCTGTTTCATCCAGATGAGAAGTGACAGGCATTTGCCATTTGCAGACCTGATATCTACCTGTCTGTTTTACCAGATCATATAGAAAAGTGACAAGATAGGAAATTCATCTAAAAGAAACCAAAAGAGCTATTAACAACTACTCAATGACAACCATAAAATGCTGTTTATCAGTGCACTGTGTTGACCTTCCTGCAGTCTTAAGAGTATTACAGCATCTGATTCAAACACCCCAAACATTTTTTTAAAAAATTAACTCTCTTTCTTGTTCCATCTAGCAGTAAAAATAGCATCCATTGCTGCTAACAACAAAAGAAAAGCCTATACACTAAAATAGTAGAAGTAAGTTCTCCAAAAGCAATCTGAGGAGTTTTATTATCTAGTGATAGGCTTATGCACAACTTTAGTGATCCCTCTTCTGCCACGCACACACATATGCATTAAACATTATCACTTGCCTGTTGCAGTCCCACTGTCACTCTGCAGCAGTGCTCCTGTCACTGGTTGTGCGTTGTTTGGGTTTGCTCCTGGTGCTGTTGGGGGAGGAGGCCCTGCTCCACCCCCAAGGAGCATACAGGATGGTGGAGGGGGTTGCCCACGTTTCAGTAACACTTTGTGGTCCTGCTGGCAACGGAATCGCGGCGGCACCTCCCGAGGCATGTAGCGGGCGGCGCTTGGCGGTTGTCCGTTCGGCACTGCCACCCTTTTGGCATTGTTGCCACCATTCACTGGTGGCGATGGAGAGTTGCCAATTGGGCTGGCAGCCACTGGTTGGCTTAAACTTGGTTTCGTCACTTCGGGCACTGAAAAACAGGAAGAATGAAAATCAAACATTTTTCCACTCAAACCTGTGTTAGCCACCAGAACTCACTGTGACTCTTTCCTTTTATAATTTCATTCTTTTCTGAAATACTGTCTAACTTCAACCTTATGGAAGAACAGTTTCATTACAGAAACAGGAATAAGCAGTAGCAGCAAATCTCTTGCTTCTACGTCCAACTCTATCCTGGCATGAAACTCTACCCTCGGCAAGTATTTCGCTTTAAGTCCCAAATTTCTTGGAAACGTAAAGCTGGCAAAGAATGCCACTCTGGGCAATGAGTCACTTTAAAATATGAGCAGTCCAATATAACTGGTTTCTGCTCCCCGCCTTTTCCCTGATTTTCAACTGGTTTTTGGATTGTTATGCATCACCCTCATGGGAGGTCTGAAATCAGATCCCGAGTTTTCACCTGCTTACTAGGCCACACAGCAACTGCCAAGACAAACAAAAACAGGGACCCCCCCCCCCCCCCCATTTTGTGTACTTCTCTTAAATAAAGCAGTAATAGTTGACTCTCACCCAAAAGGCAAACCCTACATACAGCATTTGTATCAGGATCACCTAAAGTTTCCCAGCTGGTCACCAGGTGCCCCTATAAGCAAGGACAAGCTGCTTCTGAGAGCTATTATGCATTGGAGAAGAGGAAAAGCACAAAACAAATCCTTGAGGAACTAACACCATTACAAAACTTGCTTAAGAGACTCTAGACCTGTGACCCCTTACATTCTCCATGTGCTTTTTCCAAACAGAGCAAAAGATTTTCCAGCCTGGCACCTAGGAGGTGTAATTGCTAAGATATCAGACTCCAAAGGCAAAGAATTTAATACATCTCCTCTAGCCTTTGCTGAAGATTAATACAAGAAAGGGATTTCCTGAAGCCCCTTGCCAGCAAAGTGAACATAATCAGTAAAACTTATCTTCTTACAAATGTGGTATCAAAACAAGCGAGAGTCTCTTCGGCAACATGAATGCATTATTCCCCACATTTTATTTTGATATGGGTTTCTGATGCCTCTACGTAGGCTGCATAGCACCAAACCCCTCCAAAAATACTGTTAACTGTAAAACCAAGTTATTATCTTAGATCTCTTTGTCAATAACAGCAATTTCCCCACACAATTTTTTGAAATCTGACACACAAATCAAGATTAAATGTATTTTTAGATCAGCTAAATAAGCTTAACTTTCAAGATGCTCACTCATCAGCCCTGTCTTATCTGTTTGACTTTTAGGTGCCTGAACTTCTCTTCAGTTTCTTTAAACAAATCATTTTCACTCCTTTCAGTACCTCACCATAAGCAGTACTTTCCCTGTCTTTCATTCCTTTTATACAAGTGGTTTCAGTTTTTGGTTACTTGTCTAAAACCTTCGCAAAACTGAAAGGCTAAATACTTCTGCTAATCTATTTTATCCACAATCCCCATTCCCTCTTCCAGTATTCTGATGCTGACACCATGGGTAGTTTCAGGTTCTCTGTTTCAATCACCTCAGCTTTTACTTCTTCTGAATACGCATCTTCAGTATTTCACCTTGACTCACAATTCCCCTTCCTTTCCCAACGGTTTTGATTAAGACCCAGGTCCTGACTCAGGTCAATAAAAAGCAGTTTTTAGGATCAAAGATTCTTACCTTTGGTTTTTTGATCTGTGACCTGCAAATTAAAAGCAAGAATGTAAACACAGTTTTAAGACCCTCAAAACAATCACTGAATAGGCTGAGCTAAATCATAACCGTAATTTATTAGCAACAAGATCAGTATTTATTCCATGAAAACAATCAGCTGATGACCTACTAGTCTGAACAGTTTTCCTAGTCATATATACAAAATTTTCAGAAATACTACAGCTCCCATAAGACCCTTGCCTGGTGCAAAAATCCTTGGCAGAAAGAGTAATTACTTCACTCATGATGATTTTTAGTATTCATCCCCCTCCTCATCCCCAGTAGAGACTTCCAAAGCACCAATAAACATGTGCTAGAGCACTATAGTTCTTTCAGATTTCGGAGGTGAAGTATTACAGTTAAAATGTAACAAAAGCTTCCTTCTGTGAGAGCATCCTTACAGCAGACTGTTGGGGCTAGCAACAGAATTCACACAGGAGTAACCGCAAGCGAGAGTAGCGGTCTGTCTGTGTCATCTTCCCATTTCACCCTTCCCAGGACATCTCTTCCAAGGCGAAGAAATCCTAAACCTTACTGGATTCATTGCCATCACTACAGACAGTGCCAGCAATACCTATATAGCACCAGGCTTAAAAATCTCTTGAACGCAATAGGAAGTTGATTACCGAAGTGAGCCATCATGCTGGCTCACATATTCAGTATGCCGTTTTGCTGTACTTCTACACTCTTTCAACATAGCAGCTTTCAAGCTACAGTAGGGACAAACACATCACTGGTATATTCTCTGGAATCATGTGTACTGTAGCATGTTTTGAGCCTGCTGATCATGAGTTCCACTACACAATAATGGAAAAAACCCTAAAGACCGTCATGCTGTCAGGTTCTATGACAACTAGTCTTAAAAGAAATTGCTGAACTAGTCCATAATTCTGGAAAGCACATAGTGGCAGTATAGAATAATGAAAACACAAGTAAAAAGCAGTTTATTGTTCAAACTAACCAAGCCAGAATTTCTTTGTATGGTAAAGAATAAAAAGACAAACTGCACTGAATTGCTACGGCATCATTTACTTTGCAAAGATGAACACTACAATATGCAAAGCAGAACATTCTCTACAATACAAAAATCTTATACATGGTAACTTCACAGAATTAAGTAATCCAAAAGTCTCCAAGACACTAAAAATGTACCTATTCCAAAACTCTGTCTGTACCAAGCCAGACATCGATCTTTACTTTCACTTCAGTTACAAAAAATCCTGTAAGTATCAAATTACATCTTCTGTAACACAGTTAAAAATGCTGTTAAGCACCTAAGTGACTCTGATGCTCCATTATTCAAGGAAAAGAAAGAGGGGAGAAAAAAATTGTTCATAAATCCAGTCTGGTAATGCTGATAGGTTTACTACAGTCAACAATTTGTCTACTTGGAAGAATTCCATTTTAAGAAATCTTCAAAGAATTCTATATGGTAACTACCTTTTACTTTAGGGGAAAAAAAAATTACTTCTGCTATATTGCGTCTCTCTCCTAGTCCAAATGATCTGGTTTTGTGATGTTCTTTTCAGGTCTAGAATACAAAACCCAAGAAAATGTGACCCTGTCTCAGATTTACAGCTGTCATCTTTCTGTGGGCCACCTATAAGCACCAGCACGGCAGGAGCAGCTACAGTGGACTGGAAGATGGAGTCAAATGCAGCCTTCCCTTCTGACAAGCTACTAAACAGCCCCTGGGACACCAACCACAGGAATTCAGTCTGTGAATTTGCTTGCATAACTTGCCTTGAAGAGATTTAATTTTTTTTGTTGTTTTTCAAGTTTCAGAAGATACAGACACAAACAATCGTTTCATGTTATACAAAATCTGTCTGGAAAAGGTACCCCAAATCATTACTGCTTATTTGGTGAACATCACCACAGTCACTAAGAATGAACAGACACATTTATATTCTGTCCATTCTGTTGCCTGCTTTGATATTCCTAGATCTCTCCAAGTATTACTGTTAAGTTTGGTCTCTACGAGATGAACTTACTCAGTGTTTATCCTTCCCAAGATTTTGGCAAAACATCGTAACATTCAATAATACTGAATGACTTAGTAGGTGAGGGACCACACAGAAAAGCTGGCAAACCTCCTTTGTATTCAAAGCACCAATTCCTCAGTAAAAACTCACAGCAATGTTATCAAGACAATCGGTACAACTTTTCCAAGTTTCTCTTGTATCATTGAATATCAGCACATAATCCTCAAACCACCAGCCTTTATTTACCAGGTTGGTGGTTTGAGGATTTGAGGATCTGATCCTCCTGGTTCCTACACATAATTATTGCGCCTGAACATTAAACAGTAGCAACACTGAGGCAAAAATAGACTGAAGAAACCTTATTCTGTAGCTACTGATCTTCTGCAGTATTACTGGGGATGTATCCACACAATGGCTGCACAAAGAAAACAGAAATACACCTGTTTATCCACACCTAATTTAAACTGATAGACTCGAACTGGTGAAAAAAACAGAAGACCCCCAGAGAAGCCAAAATTTAACTGAAATCGGTGCTGGCTGTTCTCAGCAGAAACCTACAGAATCTAACACAGAGTGACATCCGGTCTTTCATAGGATCCGTTGTTACTGAAGCAACTGAAAAACAGAGACTACTGAAAGAAAGTAAAACCTTCTGCTCTCAATTTCACATAATCATTGAGATTGGAAGGGACAGCCTCTGGAGATCCAGACCACAGTTCCCATCTCTGTTCCCCACCCATCCCCAGGAGCCTCCACAACTCAAATCAAAGTCATCAAAACCAGATTGCACAGGGCCACATCCAACTCATTTTTGAGCACATCGAAGACGGAGGCATCACAACCTCTCTGGGAAACCTGTTTCAGTGGTTGCCCAGTCACACATGCGCACAAAAAAGTCTTTTTATGATTAAGTGGAATTTCCTGTATTTCAATTTGTGCACAATGCCTTGTGCCTTGTCACTAGGCACCACTGAGAAAAGCCTCCATCATCTTTACTCCGTCCCGCAAGGTATTTATATATATTGATAAGATCCCCCTAAGCCGCCTTCTCCTCCAGGCTGAACAGTCCTAGCTCTCAGCGCCTCCCTTCATCTGTCACATACTCCAGGTCCCTTAATCATCTTAGGGGCCTTCTGCTGGACCCAGTCCAGTATGGCTACATCTGTCTTGTACCAGTAAGCCCGGAACTAGACAGAAAGTATTTTACCAGTAACAGAGTATGGACAAAGCTGCAAAAAACTCAAGTTCATATGTCAAGTTAACCCCTTGAATAATCTACTAGATTTTCAGCAAAATAGAGAGCTTCTAATACACCAACTGTTCAAACCCATTTTCTAAGCAAAATCAGTTTTCAGTGACTTCTCAATCCTTCACAGCTCAGACTCAAACTGATACACTCCAGCAAAAGTGCTATTAACTGCAGAAAATGTGAAAACTAAGTGATACTTAGCAAAAAATAAAGGGAACCCTCAGCAGTAAATACTTCATATAAACTTACTTAAGGACTTGCTCCAGAAAATATTTATTCAATTTTACTGCAGAAACTGCAAAAGTCCAGCAGCATTTCCATCCCCAAACACCTCAAAACAGCTGGAGTTGCATAGATCAAGAGAGCCCATAATCAGTAACTTAAGTTTAATACTTCATTTCAAAAATCCTCTTTTACTGCACACGACACACTACGGAAAAGAAATGTCCAAGTTAAGCACGCAAGTTCCAGGACAATTATGCAAAAAATAGTCTTTAATGAAACATCACTTTAAACAATCAAGTTTTTAAGCTCAAATACAGTTTGTCTTACCACCCCGAATACTATTTATGTTCCAGATGGATAAAATAATTCAAATACCAAAACCTACCTTCTGAGCAGATTCCTTCTTTTTCTTATCCTCTTTCTTCCTTTTCTTGTCTTCCATTAACTGTTCTTCCCTTTCTTGCTCCTTCTCTCTGCCAAAACAAAGAACAATGGTATGAGCACAATCAAATTCTTATAGAAGAGCCACACATACTATAACCCTCTTTGCCTCCAAGAAAGGCAGTCAAGGTACTAGATTCCTCTTATCATCATACTTCATTTGCATTTGAGGGTTTCAGTCCAACTGAGATAAGAGAAGCATCTTCTAGCTCAGTGTGGCTACAATCATGCCACTTGCTGCACAAAGGAAAATTCCTTTATTCAGATCAGGCCTCATCTCGCAATATCCTATATAAATTAACCACATGCCTGATATTAGAAAATATCTTCAAGACATTTTGGCCAAAACACCCTTTTAACTGGGTTGTACTTTTATTTCATGAACAGTCTCATGAATCTTTTCATATGCTAAAAAAAGGGAAGTTGTAATTTAATATAAGATGGTTTGGTCTGATATGACATTTATCTTCACAAGGGGAAGAGATTATTCTATTGCCTGTAGCTATATCACTTGTAAGAGACTGGAAGTGTCATATCAAATCAAAACCATCATTTATTATACAAATCACTAATTTAATTTCTAGCCTATTGTACCCACCCACAGAATTTTTGTGATGAAACTTGTAACATAAATTACTTTCCAGGGAATCTATTTTCTCCATGAGAATGTTCTTTCAAAAAAGGAAGAAAAATATGTGCAGCTGCTATTGTTGTCAAGCTATCATCTTGTTGCTATGTTTCATATCAAATATGAAAGTACCAGAAAATGGTTAATTTACTGCATATATGCTATTGGCTGAGCTGTTTCTATGGTGAATCACATCTTCGTTAACCAATTCTCTTCACCTCCTTGAATTTAAGAGTAAGTTTTCAGCTCACTTGGAGTAATTTCTTTTTATAGGGAATGATTAAGACAAAGACAACTAATGCAAAAAGATGATCTGACAGATGAGAGGTAGGATCAGAGACCAGAGATGTGTACTTCAAACAGGCAACAAGTATAACCCACGACATCTCAGAACAAGATTTTATGAAAACATAACAGCTTTATAAACAAAACTGGAGTTTGTAAGTGTCCTGAACTACTACTTATACCGATGCACAAATCAAAGCTTGTTTCTGAACACAGTTTAGAAAGATCAGAGTTGAGTTGGCTTTGCTGTCACACCATTCAGTATTTTCCCTCCATTGCATTTATATGGTATAGTTTAATATTTTTGTTTGCTTTTGCACTAGATACTGACAAGTCAGCTTACAAAGAGGCATTCACATAACTAATCAATTCCTACAAAAATATTTTGATATGTTATGTGTTAACAGCTTCCTGATTGAGGACTTCAAAGAACTCTCCTAAAGAGAGGACAGTACTACTAGAGACAGTAATAAAATGTTTTCCTGGTTTCCTAACGTCAGGCTCTCCTTCACAGGTGGAGAAAATGGGTAAGGGCAAGATGAGCACTTAGTAACAACATCGTGAGGTTATTACCAAATGCAATTCATACATACCAGCAAGTTCAATCTGCATTTAACAAAGTTTGAGGCAAGCAGTCCACATCACACATAACAGCATTTTATGCACTCTGTGTGCTGTTGTTTAAGCCAGGTCAGTTCTTGCTCTTATGTTCTCTACCAAATGTCAAAGCGCACTTCCCAGGCCTAAACTCCAGCAAGCAAAAGCCCTGTAGGATTTTCAGTTTTACTAACAGCACAAGACATGAAGCACTGGGGAGGTTAGTACATTTCACACTTGCTGTCATGGTGTTGAGAAAAAAAATCCATTTTCTTTGAGCCACTGATTGTAAGCAATATGAAAAAGCTCTCCAGCGACACCCTCATCTTTCAAAGTTACTATAACCTCATATTATGTTTACTACTTTTGTACTGTCAAGCTATTTGTGCCTTCTGGGCTGTAGAGCCCATTACAAGTATACTATTTCCAAAAGCCCTTCTTGCAGCAGGCAAAATTTTAAGAGCTGTCTTAAAAGAGCTGCTGAAAAGGGGCAGGATCAAAATACAAAATGACTTCCAGTAACTGCCTGGCACACAGACACCCTTCTACTTAAAAGCACCTTCCCTAGTTTTGCGAGCAGAAGAGCAAGGAATGGAAAAGAATGAGAAAAAGGCCATATTCTCAATCAAAGCTGAAGCTATGGCTTACAACGACATGTAGCACTAATAATAAAAGAAGCCAAGGACAGAAGATCTATAGCCTAAAAGTAAACATCTAGTTATGGTCATCTGTCTTCGTTGTAAGTTCAGGACACAGATTGCTCCTGCTGCTGCCTTGTTTTCAGACATGTATGGACAAGTATCTGTGGTACTAAAGGTGCAGAGAAGCCCTTTGTTTTGCATGACGACCTCCCCTTCTTCTGCTCTTTAGATAGAACTGTGCATTTAATAGTCCACTGGGCACATCATCAACAACTACAATATAGTAGTAATCAATACTTAGTAATCTAGGCTTCAGTTCACGTAAACACATACCTAAATTCTATTGAGGTGGAAGGGATCTATCAGAACACTTGGGCTGCAGCATATGTACAAGACCATAAAGTTCCTGAGAGTGTAACTCAAATCTCACAAACAGGCAGGAAGTAGGAAGTTACACTCTCCAAATGACAGAATAAGAATTGATGCTCTAGACATGCTAACAATGTACCACTATGCTGAAAGTTCACTGAATTAGGGGGGGAAATAGCTTATTCCCATTTTGGGTAGCACACTTGCCATCTTCCCACTTTCACTCTTTGATGCATTTCACATTTGAAGTTTTATGATCAACGGTTTCCCTTTTCAGTTGTATGCAAGAAGCTTGTTAAACACAAACTTAACTTGCAGTGTTAAGTGTTCTGATCAATTTAACATAATGAAAGCTTTCAAGTACCTCATCGATTCATTCAGAAGACAATGCTGCCTATTAACCTTCTCTCATTAGCTAAAATACAATCCTTCCTGGACTGGACAAGGCAACTGGGGGGTCCATCACGTACATTCCAGCAACCAGCTGCTTACATTGACAAGATCAACACAAGGAGAATATCCATCAACTCCAAATGAGTGAATTTAGAGTAATACAATGGGGTGGGGTTCCGGTTTTTGTTACCAGCACATAGTAATAGGAACATGGACACACCACAACCCTGAAGAGGAAGTTTGCTAAATAGCAACCAGCAGCCAGCTTTTTACTCTAGTTTTGAAGAAAGCATGTGTCCATCTTAAAAATGACCTAAATGCACGTTAATATTTCCCAAAAAATCACAAAATCAACATTACTGAAAAGTATTATAAAAGCCTATTACAGACTTTAATTCTGAACATTTAAAGGCATATTAACAGCCTTTAAGAGAATTAAGAGAAACTATACGTTGCAACCCAAGATTTTATTTTATTTCTAAAAAGCCAAAACCAAACCAACCCAGTAGCTATGATACAGTACACTCAATACCTTGTCTAAATACTTTTAACAACTTCTGGCTAAGACAAAAGCAATCATTTCACAGAAAAGAAGGTTTAATCAGCTAGTTAAGAAGAGAAGCAACAGAAAATAATTGTGAAGTCCAAGTTACTGAAACAGATAGCCATTTCAAGAAAAAAAGAAAAAATAGTAACTGAAGAAGTGTGCCCTCCCCCACAACAATTTACCAGTTTTGGAAAACATAATCTCCTGCAAAACTAATATTCATTTTTCCAGAAAGCTCTAATTTAAAAAGACTTATTCTCGAAACATATGGGCTTGAGGCAGGGCTAGAGGACAGAAGCTGTCTTCAAAGTTCTTGCTATCACAAACTCAACTGTGAAACGAGATGACGCACTATGTATTTACATACTATCTAGTGGCAACACGCTTTAATAGGTAGAGATAACAAGCCACACAGACTATTGAGTCTACAAAAAACCCCACAACTCTCTAAAGTCACCCTCAAACTCAAATTGCACAAAAAACATGAGTAAAACGTAAGAAATGAACAATCCTAGAAACTCAGGAGTAGCACTTTAGTATATGCAACTCCCAGTTCCTTCCACGGGGCTACGGGACAACAGCGTAAGTGTGTTGGGAAGTTCCTCACACACAGATGCGGACTAGATACCGGTACTGTGAGTCACCTTCCCTCCTCTTGACCCCATGTTTTACTTTTTTTTTCAGTAGAGTCAACTTGGTTTAGCTACACTATAATACAACACAGGAGTGAACATGAACTTCTATAGATGTATCCTGTTCTCTGCATTGTAATAAGCATAGGATAGTTACAAATCTGCTTCCAAATTGGAGTCAACTTTCATATCTTCTTCCAGAATATGGGGGATTCCAAAACTACACGATCAGCAGTACTTCAACAGAACAAGCGTTTATCTATATAGCTACAAGGTGACATTAATGACTTAAATTTTCTCTGACAGCTTTAGCCATAACTAGCCAGAGCTAAAGGCAATCACCTATGGTTTGCATGCATAGACCAGTCTCACTTAGAGGCAACACTTCAGCTATTAACTGACTCTTTCTTACAGACAGGCCTCTAGTGATCCAAAATGTCAGACAACAAACATATTCCTAATCCTTCAGAAACAGACAAAAGGACTCAGAACTTGAGGGACTAAGCCAGAAATGTATTCTGCAGTAAGGTATCCAACTTTGGTTAAGATTTGAAGCAAGAATAATTTCCAGTGAACTTTAACTACAAGTATCCAGCTTCTCAGCATTTCTTAAAGTTTCCTCAGGATCATGAATTTCTGCTAAGTTATACAGCCTGGATACCAACAGAATCATGCATCATCACACACTGGTGTTTCAGATGCATTGTAGAACACCTTTATAACAAGCTGAAAGCCAGGTATGCTTCCAAGGCAAAAGCTCCTCTCAACCTATACAGAGACAAAAATCTATTTGAGGAAAGTGGTCTTCAACTGTGCTATTTCATGAACAGCTTGCTGCCACTGTTGGAGAATTAGGTTTCAATTTCTTCCACTTCATTCCTCTTCAAGCTCTGTCCCTGACCTTCCCTCGCTTGAGCTTTCTTTGGAACTCAGCTGCTTA